AATGCTATATTATTGACTTCTCCCAACTCTTAAATACAGAGAACACATTTACTCAGAAGGGTCCTACATTTATTTGAGGGAAGAGTGTGGAAATAAGGCAAATCGAAATTGCAAGTGATAAAATGCCTAACTGATACATTCGGGTATTACATTATCAAAGTATTACAAAATATCTTCGTTGGTATTTCAAATTGTATTTACAAAACCAGTATATTACTGTAATTATATATTCCGAACCAACGGGTATGATAGGAAACCAAAACTGACTTTAAATTACATGGGCTACTAGATCCTAAAGTAAACATGACCAGCTCCATAGGGCCAGCTGTGGCAAGTTTAATACCATCAACCTTAAATAAGCCACTCATAGAATGCGCTACAGCCAAAATGCTATATTCTCTTTTTTGAGAACTTTGATAATGTATGGGCCATAGAAGATGCTTTAGTAAATTGTTCTTTCAGTTAGACTGGTTAAACATCGGTTTATTATAAATTGACAATTTACATCAGTCTCTATGTCGGTTGATCAATTCAACTACTTTCATTTTCAATTTGAAAGGAGCCACAAACATAACATGGGAATGGAATATCTATAGTTCTATCCGTATGCATAAAACTGTTGTCAAAGACACTGCACAAAAACCCTTCAAAGGCCACACATGTCTTCCTAAAACCTTTATTCGATGCAAACATCTCTTTCAACCTTTAATAAAGTGAAACATCTCAGAAACAGCTGAAGAGCCTCCGCGCGGCATCTTCAAACGCTGCCAAACGCAGTCAGCGCCGCAGACAGCATGGCGGATTACAATAATTATCATCTGTTTTGACAATCAGCTGTTTGGTGTAGCCTATCACACGCCAGTTTGGCCAACAATGCCTTGCCAATTATCCCACCTGCGAGCCGCTAATCCTATAAACCTAGCCGCCACCCACCTAGATACCTGCACTTCTGGCCAGGACGAGAATTTGAATACTGCGCCTAGTTTTTGTACAGTTATAAAAATAGTGGCACCTATATGTTTGTCTAAGTCATGGGTAAATGGTGCAAGTATACTTCTCATCTTATTAGATCTGAAGCCTGTATTTAAGTGTATTTCATGGTGGTAAAGCTTGAGCGTGCTGTTGTTGGTTGATGTTTTCTTCCATTTTGAGGGTAAACTTTTTACTGGGTTATCACCTGATCTTTTAATCTTTCATAATAATACAGTACAACATCAAGAAATAGTTTGCAAATAAATAGTCATATCGGGTTATACATGTGTTTAATGACAAGAACCTGTGTCGATTGTTTAACGTGCAAAGTATTTTTACACCAAAAACTTTTACTGTTTGATTCAAATGAGTTGAGAAGTACCCTTTTACAGTTGGAATACTATTGACTTTGCATAGTGCACAGCCTCTCATCTTATCTAAAACTAGCTGTGTGCCCGTTCTACGCACGGGGATCTTATAATATTCAGTTGAATCCTTCTTATATTAAGAAAAGCAGTTTGCATATTTCCAGATATGTTGGCAAAACTATTATATATAAACCTTTACAAATACAGTATCTGACAGTTTCAAGCCAAAACAAACGCAATTAAATGCCACCCGGATCGTGTTGGTCCATATGTTAAATCCAATGATTAAACTAAAATATGCTTTTTATAGATCTAAGAGGCATATCCCTAAGGTAGGCCTATAATTGAAAGTTACTTTCCACAATGGTTAAAAGTATTTAAAGTACTACCTGAACCTCGCCATTTAACACTTTATTCCGGTTGACATTTTTATCATCAAAGATACACTTGTCCTTTCCGTGAAACACTGAGAAATAAGGACATTAATGCGTCACCAACAGACATATACACAAAAATACAGAATTTAATTAGGGGATTTGCTATGCTTTAAGCATACCTAACAAAGTACATACCTATCAAATAAGTATTTATGAAATATTTGTTAATGTTATCAAATTTTATCATAACAATTTATATTTGCTTAGTTTGGAGATGACCCGAAATGCTGTCGAAATGACGGCTTACTATATGAAATGAAGTCCTATAGATGATTTAGATTGGTAACTTATAATACGTACCCAAGAGACGGACTATGGGCCTGTTGGCTGTAAGGTCCAGCTATTGCATCATACGGTGAGTAGGAACAGAAAGTGACACAGTCATTGGAAAAGCGAGTTTATCATCATCCGTAAACCTCTGTTACAATCACCCACTGCAGTTGTGATTTTTTACTTTACACAACCACCATCGAAGCACCGTCAATGAGTGAAAACCTTGTTTGTAAGCTATTGGCGACGATCATTAATAAATTCAAGTTTCCCAGCCCTATACAACACTGATTCAAGGTCTTCTTTCTGCTTATCAAAACTCAAGAACAATTTTATTCACAAAGTATCTCTGGTTCCTGACCTGGTTGATGCCTGGTTATTTAATTTCATTTACGGTTACACTATATTATTCCACTTGTGATTAATTAAATACGTTATGTAAAAAAACGTTTTTAATCTCACTTGGATGGGATTTGCCTTCAAAACGTGATCGGAAATGGTTGTGGTATTTGTAAACAAAATTTGTAAACATATCAGTGACAGCTAGAAAAAATAAACTTGATCCGAACAGCTGTTCGTTATTTCATAGATCACATTATGTGATAAAAATTGGACGAAAACTTGACAAAAATCGCACAAAACTGCATTTTATAACGTCCGTAATTTTATTTACTAAGTAGTGAGGCTACATTTTAATGGCTAAAGACACTCTCGCCAATCCAGTGAATACATTAAAATGACTTGGATCTTGATAGGTACTCTCGTTTTCCTGGAGAAGATTGCGTAAAATGCCATCTTGAGTGTTACAGACAGACAGAAAGACAGACAGAAATTTAGATTAGACTTGTTTCGGCTTCTTTAATGTGTATAAAACGTAAAAATAACCTAAACATTTTTGATTCTGAGCTATGTACAGACAAAACTCTAATTTTATTTATATAGATAGATTCAAAGACTCTGTTACCGTGTATCCAGACGACCTTTTCAGTGCGTAGGTGTTAATTAAAACGATGATTAATTTCATAGTAGTGAAAGCTAGTTGAGCGGAGCGATCACGTTTTATGGTTTTTAATAAAGCAAACAATAAATAAAATGTTTATAGATATAATACAAAATACAACTAATTCATCAATTTAACTTATCAGTTTCGCTCGAACTATTAACATCTATAACAAGTTTCATTACTAAAGATGTGGAGATTACGAACATATCCTTTGTATCGGCATTTTTCCTGTGTTTGCTTGCTAGTATCATCTGGTGAACCCACAGTTCTGGTTGAACACGACCTTGAGGATCTAAACAAATGGACTTTTTCTCAATATTGGCTAGATTTTGAAGTTCAGGCAGAAATAATCCTGCATGGATCCATACGATTAGCAGATGTAACTTTTTAAAGACTTGCCTGCTTTGAGAGAATTGCAAAAATAGTTATCACCACACCTTATGAGGTTTGTTTTCTGAAATTTTGTACACCTTTAACATAATTAGAAAAAGCATTGTTTTAAAACAAGTGTTCTACATTCAAATACCTTAACATTGCCAGAAGTAGTTGTTCATGCGTTTCGGGCGTTTAATTGCTCGAATACATTCTCAAATTTTCCTTAATATGACACTCTTATGCGAATTAGGTATTTTATTGTAAAACGAAAACGCAAAAAAAAAATACTTTATCCTTATTGGGCCATAATATACCCCACTTCGTTGCCAACACAATAACAACCAATACAACAAGTAAGTGCGTTGCCAACACGATAATCCTACTAATATTATAACTGTGAAAGTTCGTGTGTTGTTTGTTTGTTTGAAGTTCAATCACGCATAAACCACTGGACGGATTGGGCTGAAATTTGGCATGATGATAGCTCACATTCCCGATTAAAAATAAAGGCATATTCTTATTTCAAAAATACATTCAGGCTCCGCCCCAGTGGCTCTGCAGTTCCCCCATGTTAACCTTATGAGTATTCGTATTTAAAGGGAATTAAAGAATTTAGTCAGCTGATTCAACTAAAAAAGTTGGTTTTATGGTATGAAAAGCATTAAAAAGTTATAAGATTTACCAAAAGGGTGCAGCACTATTATTTTTTTGCATTTATGAAAACAGCTAATTTGAGCTAAACAGCTACAAAAAATTGCGATACACAATGAGAACTGTCAAAGTAGGATTGTTTATAGTTATGTTTATTTTTTTAATTTCATGAATAATTTGTGATATTTTGATAATTTTGGTCCTTACCATACCACATACCGGTACGGTTACTTTGCCAATTATTGCTACTTCCATAGGAATTTCGCTAAACTAGCTTGAAATGATTTGTGGATAAATATAACAGACCCTATTACATAAATAATTGACTATTAGAGTAGAACAATAATTCTTTATTTTTGTACCACCAGCTATCCATCCACTAACGCCTACTGTACTACTGTGCTTTTTTCTCTATTTGTGATTGTTTTTGTTTGTTTTCCTTTATTCAAACCTTAGAAGCAGTCTAATCCCACTAGAATTTATGAAAGTCTGCTATATGGTATGATAAGCACCACCAAAGGTGAAATTTTTAGAGTAAATCGTCCCCATCGTCAAGGGAGTCATTGATTATACATCTCCGAAATGTATAATCAATGGTTTTATCCACGGTCAAACGAAAGAAAGAAGTGGTACTGGTAGTTATTTTAATTTGTTAAGTTTTATTTGTTTCATTATAAATTATCAATACAAAAACATGATAAAGTATTTTTTAACCTTAGCTTTTTCTTTTTCTTATTTTTCACATAGTATGGAGGTCTACTTACCATCTGCAAATAATCATTAATACACAAATAGACATTTCAGCCAAAGGACTGGCCGAATCAACAGCTGTTTAAGAAAACATGTGGTTGGTAATCGGACCAATTAGAGAGTCTAGAAAAAAAAAACAAAAACAAATAGAAGAAAAAGTTAAGAAGAGAATTTATTTAAGCCTATTTTTGTTAATTTGTTGATCGAGTGAATCAGAATCAACAAACAACCGTGTTTGTTTGGGTAGAGATTAAGTGTCTGAGAAACTGAAAAACAGTTAATTAATTGAATTCTTGCTTAAAACTTATGGACTTAAACCCCAAACAAACATCTTTAATAGTTTAGATCATCAGCTAATAGTGTAGGCCTAATCAAAAGGAGGAAATCAGTGTAGGCCTAGCTGCAGACTGTTAGCATTGTTAGTCTTCAACTCTAGTCTATGAATAGTTTCCAGCCTAGTCTGAGAGTTCTGGTAAGCATAAGCTAGGCCTAGGAATAAGTAGATTTCTTTTACAGTTGGCGTTTATTTTCTGGTTGATATTAGAACAGGACAAGAGATACTATAAGGTCTTTAGCCTATTTTGTCCCAGGCTGTTAAAACTTAGTCAATTTGGTTTATTCTTATTCTCTAAGCTGCAACCCCCGCAAGGCAAGTGTGTACGCTTGGTAATGCCGCTTGCCGATTCCAAACAGATGGGTTGTCGCTCCGCATCAAAGGAAGCCAAGCCTCATTCTTGTGGGGGGACGAGCCAGGCAGCAGACACCATCACATCCGTTACTGTATATCACACCATTACATCCATGTGCCTTGCCACCCTCAGGTGCTTCTGTTTAAAGCCTAATAGATCCTGTTATTTGGACGAACTAGTTTTTGAACTAGGCCTAACTGTAGGCCTAAGAGTAGGGCCTAGCTTACCTGTTGCTCAAATTCCATGAATTGCGAAGTGACTTAGTTACAGGCATTATTTTAAAACAAATAACAGTCATTATTTCCAATGACTATAAAAGAGTCAACTCAAAGATTATAGAAATACTCACAATGTACATATCAGTTTGGATATAAGTTTAACAAAAGTTCTTGTAAATAGCTTAACTTAGGTAACTTAACTTATCAAATCATTTTTCAAAAGCTGATCTTGTTTTTTAGTGTTTTATTCAAATACCTATTCACCACTCATATCCGCTATGGTATAGGTTTTAATTTCAAAATAATAGGCTAACGATTATAAATTCTAAATAAAAAACATTTCTATTTCTTTTAGGCCTACTTGGTAAGCTCTATGACTTTCCTAGGCCATGTTTCCATAAGTTAGTTTGCAAATCGGCTCTTTCAATGATTGCTCAAGAAATGCAGCAGTGTAGTTCAGTTTTCTTTTTATATCAAATCGTCCCGGCTTTCTCTCTTTTTTCCCTAGTAATATTTATGCCAACCCAAATTCAAATACAGTAGACTCCCTCTTATCCAGACACATTTTAACCGGATGTCGGATTAACCGGTCTACTCTCGGCGGAAATGACATCTGTTTAACCGGACAATTTATCAGCACATTGGTTTAACCGGACTAGATCGGCAGAAAGTGGGCAGTACTGAAACAACTGTTCTCGTGGGAAAGATTTGAGACCAGTGATCACGTGTCTAAATACAGTGCTCTCCTAAATTTAAGTCGAATATCACATCAAACAGTCCGTTTTAATGAGTTTTTGAGGACGTCGGTTTAACCGGAAAACCGTTTTCCGGACAGGCCTCGGTCCCGAGGAGTCCAGATAAGAGAGAGTCTACTTTAGTAAATATTTCATTTCAACCAAGTCAGTTAATGTTTGTAGCACACGTTTACTTAGTTGCAACTAAAATATCGGCAACAGAAATGTAAGTTTAACTATCCATCTGATCATAATGGAACATTTTGGTAGGCTATATAATATGTGGGGTTAAATCTTAAAACAAAAATGCCTTATTGTTTACAAAGTTTCTTGTAGCGTACCGGTATTCATATTTTGAACTACTTAACTGAAATTACAAGAAACAAATTTTAAACAAAGACAAACCTTTCAGGACTGGACAGTTAACTATTATTAAAACTGTCCATGAAGACAGCAAATCTATTAGGGAACTGTACACTATGATTAATGTTATTCTGACTCTGAATAGATTCCCAGTAGCCTACGACCGATAATCAGGAGATACAATGTAAAAGTTTCCGTTCAGGATAATCTAGGTGTTTGTGATGATGTGTTACGTGCCTTCATACGACTTTGTATTGAAGGAAACTTATACACACAGAGCAGGCATTAGGAAGCCTATGTTGTCAACCCATCTTTAACTTCGTGTAAATGTTTAGGTTTGACATCAAGAAACGATGTACTGGACTGTACGCCTCAGCGGCGGGCCCCAGAGGGTAAACCATGCAGCTGTGATCATCGGAGATAAAGTGTACTCCTTCGGTGGATACTGTTCTGGTGAAAACTATCGCTTGCAACGTCCCATCGATGTGCACATATTGAATACTGGTAAGGTGCTTTAAAAAAAAAAACAATTTGTAAATAAGTTATTCATAAAATGAAGTCGGTCAGTAAAATTGAATGATTAACACATTCGATGCGGCGGGTCCACCGGTGGACCCCGCGCGTCTCAGCTGAGGAGCGGGGAGTCCACCGGTGGGGGAGCGCGCATTGCATTGTTTGTCGGATCAGTGTGGTTCAGCCATTGTCGGGGAAACGTTGTAATCTTTACCAGCCTGTAGCTTATAATGCGAGCTTTATTCTGGTGTAGGTTGGTACAAAGATTTCCCGTAAAATCCCGTCTGGCAATGCTTTTGTCCCGTTTTCGGGGATTTTCTCAGTTCGAGCCGTATTACAAAGACTCTGGTTATTGATCCAGGCAGTGCTGCTACCTTTGGGTGTTTCAGTGAACTACGTCCACTTTCGGAGTAACGCAGCACAATCACCACTGCTCTTTTTTTTTTGATTCGTCTTACCGAGATATTTCAATACCAATAGCGATCGCTGATTCAGTTAGCGCGTCGGGGCTCCGCCCGGGCCTCGCCGCAATTGGCGAGCGCCTGTTTAAAGGTTTTCAGCAGCGAATGTGTTAACCAACTGATGAAAGATGGTACAGTAGAATCCCTCCTATCCAAACTCCTCGGCACCAAGGCCAGTCCAGATAACGGTTTTTCCGGTTAAACCAACGTCCCAAAAACTCGTTAAACCACAGACAAATAGAATTAAATTTAGACCGTTAGCTGTGCTGTGGTTACCATGGTTCTGGCGATCACTGCTGGGAGCGCCATGTAGCTACGGCGTACGCACTACGTAACTACACGGCGCTCCCAGCGGTGTGCGTCAGAACCTGGTAAGTAGGCTGCAGCACAGCTGACAGTCTATATAATTCTTTTTGTCTATGTGAAACGGACCGTTTAAATGCATACTGTACTGTATTCGACTTAAATTTAGGAGAGCATTATATTTAGACAGGTAATCACTGGTCTCAAATCTTTCCCACGAGAACAGTCGTTTCAGTAGGCTACCGCCCACTTCCTACCGACCTAGTCCGGTTAATCCGATCTAATGATACAAATTTTCTGGTTAAAGAGATGTTACCGGTAATTTCTGCCGAGTGTAGTCCGGTTAAACCGATGTCTGGTTTGTAAAAGGTGTCTGGATAAGAGGGAGTCTACTGTATGGAATTTCAGGTCTTGGATTGCCTAGAGTTGTGAATGTCGTGTGAGTGTTTTAGTGCCTGCGCTTTTAAAGGTATAGCCTGAAAGCTTATGTACTCTTAGGCATCCATCTCTAGGCCTAGGTACACCTGCGCATCACAATATTTTAGAAAAATGGTTGGGGTGCCAAATAAATAATAAAACCAGGATAGCCAATTGGCTAACGTGTCTACTAGCATTGTAAACATAAATGACCCTGAACATACCAATCATTGTATTAAATATTTGCTTATCCACCATTGATTTATGGATTTTTTATTTCCATTTTTACATGTACTGGGATTGATGATTTGTGGAATAGTAGGCCTACATCCAACTCATACTTTAAGTATAAGGCCTTAATATGTCCACTTCAGTTTTGGTTATTACCTGGACCAGTTTTTAACCAGGCTATTCATTTTCTACACTTTTAAAATCTGTTTTCCATGCTATTATCTGTTATCTCTTTCCTGTTTTCTCTGCATCCATCTTCAGCTGAGTCAATCTTTTTGGAGGTCTACTCTCTTCTCTATCACCATCAACCCAATTTCCCTAGAATTATCTCTTATTGCATTATTCTCACTTGTTCAAACCATATTAATCAACTTGACCTTTCTTCCTGTTATCACCTTCTTCAACTAAAAAAAAATCCTGTAAAGAAATAGATAGTCTTAGTCAGTAACTAAGCTGCTTAATGAATGTTCCTTCATACTACCCTAATCTTTCATTCATTTTTTGGGTTGAAAAATACCCACTTTTGCCCCTCTCTTCCTATTCAACCGGTAAAATTGTAATGGTTCGACCCCACTTTTAATCTCTTCTTTTCATAGTTGATCACCTCTACACCTACCTTATCAACATAAAAAAAAAATACTATCTATTTCCAGTTACGTTGAGGTGGAAAGTGTTCCTTCCACCGGCATCATCAAAACACGAAGCTCCTTACCTCCGCTACGGTCACACTGCTGTTGTGTATGGCACTAAAGTGTATGTCTGGGGCGGACGGAATGATGACTCTGCCTGTAACAAACTCTACTGCTTTGATACAGGTAAGAAACAAAGAAATACTATTTTAATTTTAATTTGTGTTTTCATCGGGTTTTTGACAGCACAAATTTCTTGTTATTGACACTAGAACTTCATTGTAGTCTATGTTAATAACAAATTCATTGAAAACCCATTTTTGGGCCCTGAGGCAAATCTGTAGGCTATTTTGTTTCAGCCTTCTAGGGGAAAGGCCGTAAAACAATACAGGCCTACTAATGTAAAGTGCTTAAAATACCATATATATTTGGACTGTCTGAAAACTACAATTTACCTTTGTGCCTTCTTGCATTGCAGAAAACCTGGCTTGGTCCTGCATCAAGACTCAAGGGATAAGACCAGGAGCCAGGGATGGACATTCAGCATGTGTCATAGGTGATGACATGTACATCTTCGGAGGTTTTGAAGATGACGAAGATAGATTTTCGCAGGATGTGTACAAGCTTTGCTTACGTACCTTTACCTGGTCCTATGTCTACACAACGGTAAGTTTCCATTTAAATTTATATTGAAATTTCCATACTTTTGACATGATTTAGTATTTCATCAATTCACCCTTGAAATCTTCGACGAGACCTGAATAAATTTGGAATGGACTCCTACTGTTACCAGACGTAAACAATCAGATTATAGATTAATTTTTTTAACTACAATATTCAAAATGAAGGTTTTCCATGTAGGCCTAGTCTAGGCTAAACCGTTGTTGTAACATTTATTCCTAATAGGTGGTATGAAAAAAGTTGAATCTGTAATACTTTTTAGATTTACCACAGTTATGTTGTAGGTATCAACTATGTTACACTATTGAGCGACCCACCAATCTTCAGGATTTACTACTCAATTCATAGAGAAATGTAAAAGTTTCTAAAAAGGATCAATACCTTATGTTCTTGTATTATTGTATTCGTCCTAATCTTACAATTAATTCACTTAATAACAGGGTAACTACTAGAATCAAACATTAAAACCTTATAACTGTGAGCTGGAATTATTTCTAAACAATTTTAGAATTTTTTAAAACTGGGACGGGTGGTATCGTCCTGTAATCCAGCTACTAGGAGGTTACGAATTGTGGATATTTATAGGAATGCACTGTGGATGCGATACTCCCTGGTGTGGATTAACGTCCGCACGAGTGAGTACTACGACTATCTGCAGTACTATCCTGAAAATTATACCAATTCGTATATACCAAGGCAAAAATGTGGTTCGGATTCCACTATACTTGGCAAGGGGGTTCAGACAGCCTATCTCCGCAATGCTATTTTATTCATCTTTAGGAACACATATCTAAAAAACTAGAAGACATATCTTCATAAAACGTTTTTTAATTGGTTGATCTCTTTGTCCTCTACAAAATAAGCGGAAAGTTAAAAATTTTTTTCTGTTTACATTTTTTACAGAATTTTAAACATTTTGTTAACAAATTTGCGGTTAAAAAGTTTATTAAGTTACCCAAAAAATTGTATATATCCATCACAACAAAACCCTCCGTTTATATTGTACACCTGTAAGAGTGGAATAAAACAAACAAAAAAAATATGGAGATATCTCTTGTAGTTTTGGAGATATGTGTTCCTAAAGTAAAAAAATATTAGTTTTCGGAAAACGCAACGAAACAGGTGATATAGTGATAGAAGTGAAAGAGCCTACCTTCAGTGCATTCCTGAATAAGTTTGTTTACCAATACAGCTGACTGCAGTACAGACAGCAGCTAGGGAATAAGGAAAGCCAGTGCTACCAACATGGAAAGTAAAATATTCGTATAAACGAAAATAAGCACTATAGCAAGTGACTACTACAACGCCGAGCGCCAAGAGCGTTCTAATTTTGTATTGCATTCATTTGTATATTTAGCTGTATAATATGAAATAGTTGTCAGAATTCAATAAATGAGGTATTAAATTAAAGCTTTAAAGTCATAGAACTCAAAACAGTAAAAAGCTAAAAATCCAAAATTTTGACCAAAATTAAGTCCGACGCCCCAATACTTACTTCGTATGGTCGCCATTTCATTGAAAAGGATTAAAGTATTTAAATTGTGTAGGTAAATCTAAATCTTGGATTTAGCCATGCATTTTGAGGGTAAATTATGAGAAAATTCTCGTACGTGGGGCCCCCATGCGCGCGGTTAAGGGAATCTGTGTCGACTTCCTGTCTGTTAAAGATGGACACAGATTAGAAGTAACTTAGCAGCGTATAAGTTAAGCAAATATTACACTCTAGGATTAGCGACGTGACGTTCTATATAGTCATTTCTTACTTATGATTCAAACTTCTGACGCTGTGCTACTGATTTGATCTTTCAAATCTCAAAGTCAAGTTCAAACGGCTCCATAGGTTGACCAGGGCCGGATTTAGCATTTTGGCGCCCCTAGGCCCAAATAATTTTCCGCCCCTAGTCTGGCCACAGTTATCACGCACATAGGCCTAAGTTAATTGCTTGAATACCACTCCTGGTCGGAATTATATCATTGCAAGTTTTTTTTGAAGAATTGACTCGTTTTCCTTAATAAAGTGCAGTCTTAAACACTTTTAGCAATTTTATGCTTTTAGTAAATGCTCACGTTTGTGGGACTGAAACAATACAACTCAACCCACCGAGCATTCCTGCAAAAAACATGGCCATTGATTCCAATTTCAGGCCCAAAAACATGAACTCCATACAGTACGTGATACCATAGATTAAACATACTCCTTTAGTAGATTTGTCATCATTATGGACTAGCTCATTATAACAATTCTTGTTATTTAAACTTAGTTTATCCTAAATAAAACGATGTAATCATAAACAATAGGTCGTCTCCTGGTTATATTACAAGAAATTAAAACACACATCATAGAACTAACCCTAAAATTATAGAAACAAAAGTATGTCAAAACTAACGTTCAGTGTCACCAACGTGAACTAGACATGAAAATAATGAATCAACAATGTGATAGCTAGTCGACTTGAGTTATATTTAATCTATGGTGGTACTGCATCTAGGTTATATTTCCAAAGCAAAACAGAGCAATATTCCGGCTATCAAACCTGCGCGGCTCGAAACGGCCCAGGGTTCTTTTGTTTCTGGTATTACTATAACCATATCGATCCTTAGGTCTGAGGAGAAAATTACAGCATTAGTGGTGCTTTGGAAGGTATTTAATTTGTCGAAAACCTGTTGTAAACTGAGATTAATATTTTTTCGTTAATTTTAAAGATAAATTGATCATTTTTTTATATATTCAACACAACGTATTATATATTTTAACTGGATCCTGCAGATTGTTGTAAACTAATCAAAAGATTAGTCAATAACTTTTGTTTTGTGTGTTTGGTGGTAACAGTGTCTAGCACGCATGCTACCATAATCACTCCGATCAGTAGCACCGAGCCAACATAGTGGCAATACGATGCGTACCACTCGGGCGCTCGACAATATCCCTACAGCCTACTCCCGTACCAATGTTCGTTACCAATGTTGTAACGAAATTGATGCGTAATTCTGAAAAATAGTTTAAATCTTCTAACAATTATTTCTTCCTATAAACTTCAGAATCAGAATGCTTTATTAGCCAGAGTTTTTTCTATCAACTATGACTATTTATTTTTATTTTTTAATATTTTAAAAATATGTCTTCCTCTCGGCCTTGCGCCCTCTGGGAGCTTGCGCCCATAGGCCCGGGCCTACCGGGCCTATTGGGAAATCCGGCCCTGAGGTTGACCCAAGTTAAATAGCTTAGCTACAACTAAAGGGTGTTAGTGTTGGTCAAAATTTCTCCGTTAGCCTACAAGAATCAGCGCATAGAGAAACAAAAGTCTTGGGCTAAATAAATAGCTATTAGCCTACTTAAACTACTGTAGTTCAACAAACAATAAGAACGCTTGAAGAGATCTAAGAATCATTTTTTAATCTTGTGTTATATCGATGGTAAACATTTGGCTAGATGTAAAAGATCATATATGTAGACTGAACAGCTTATAATTTTTAATACAGTTTAGGCCTATTGGGTTACATACAAATCTGATCTGAGACATCGGATATCAAGTGTCATGATTCTTAGAATCAATTTTTGTATCTTAAAGACTCTCTCTATTTCTGACAAGAAATCCCCAAAGTTTATTGCCATGTTGAAAAATATAATAAAAATAAGCATTTAAAGTTAGTCTAGTTTTCAAATCGGTTGTATTTATCACACAAAGCATAAACATTTTTCAAACATTAATATGCAACCCAGAGAAGACTCGAATAGTGCACAGACAGGAGTCTATGTAATTATGATGTTATTTAAACATTGTAATGCCGCAGGGAGACCCACCATCGTACAGAGACTTCCACTCGGCCACGGCCATAGGCAACCGGATGTTTGTTTTTGGAGGACGAGGGGACCAGACGGCGCCACAACACTCCATGATGGAGATATACTGTAACAGCATCGTCTATCTGGATGTTGTAGAGAAGAAGTGGTGTAAACCAGCCACTACAGGAGACATACCTGTGGGGAGGAGAAGTCACTCTGCTTGTAAGTGTTGATGATTGACCTTCTGTCTCCTTTAAAAGTAAGTTAGATTTGAATATTAGTTTGAAAATCCCCATGCTAGTTTTTTTTTTAAACAGCATGAGTTTGATGTAAATCTTTTTCCTCGGGGGCTGGGATAGCATTACCCCTTGCTACCTCGACCTGAAAGTACATTTATAACTTGACCATTTTGATAACAATTTTTAAATACCTTAACACATTGGCTGCAGTCTAGCCAACCGTATCCAGCAACTTGAAACTTCAATGGAGTGCTAGAAATGTTTTTGTACCACTGCATGGAAATTATCACATTGCCATACTTGTAAACAGTACGCAAATTAGCTCTAGAGTGGGAATTTCTAAACCAACCACAGCCGTGGATCTGGTACGTTAACAACCAATAAGCAAATTACATAACTTTTAAAATAAAAACATAACCTAAATGACATTTTATATCTAAAAAGTTAATCTGTGTATTATTATAAGTTAATTATGGTGATAGGAAAAATCTTGCGTGTATTACAAGCACAAACAGTCATTGCCGCTCTCGAAATGTATGAAGCATTTCGGACAGCTCACAGGACCTCAGAACTGCCAAATGCAGGAAAAAAGGGGACCGAAGATAGGCAAAAAAATGCTGCACCCTAGTTGAATGACTCATTACAACTATTTAGGACAGACACATATCCTCACAACTATTACATTTCTAATGGTTTGTTCCAGTTGTTTACAAAGACCACATCTACATTTTCGGAGGATTCAACAGCCTGAAGGGGATGCACTTCAATGACCTGCACAGATTCAACCCTTACACGATGACATGGCAATGTCTGCAGCCTCTGGGAGAGCCTCCGTCCAAACGCAGGAGACAATCCTGTGTGGTCAGTGGCAGCCGCATGTATCTGTTTGGTGGCACCAGGTAATTTCAATTTCTATTCCAAACTTGTAGCCGATTAGTAGTTAAAATAGAACCATAGTTGAATGACAAGTTTCCAATTGCTATGTAGCTGCAACTGATCGTTCTGACCGGAATGCAGATAAAATAAATGTTTATTTGATATTGTAATATCGTAGAGTGGGCTACCAATAAAATTTTTCTTTTTTCTCTCTTTGTTGAGACAACTTATGTGACTTGAAGATGCTATGTTTAGTTTTGAGTTGCTCTTTCAGTTTATTTTCAGAATGGATTGTACTCTGGATTGTGTGAATTAACTAATGAAGGTTAAAATCATCTGGTCGCTGTTATAACAGCCCTGTATAGTTCAAACGACTACAGTTGATGATGTTCTGCGAGTTGAGCACATCAGGTCAAAATGGTAGTTAATCAAAAGTTTAAAAAAATACAAAAAACACATAACATGATTAAAACACCTTAAAAACAGTTGACCAGATAGTAACTACACACGTGATATGTGATACGGGGCCGGTGGACTTACCCTCCTGATATGGAGCAACCTACCACCAACAACGTGCGTTATTTTTAAAGTTTTTTGTTACTTTTTTAGCCCTGTGCGGGAAGATGAATTACCACCACCAAACTACTACCCTGATCATGATCATTTGGAATCAAGGCTCAATGACCATGATGACTTGCACATATTGGATTTTGGTAAGTAAATAACTTGTCTTTGAAATATGTTTCTCCTCGTCTCTTTGAAGCAGGACAGCAGGACACCCTCAAAACCTTATATAAGATTATAATGTTGGAGAGTGATTTATTTATAGTGACAGGAACAGGTCTCCATTCTCCAAACATTGTAGCGGGTTAAAATCTGGAAGCTGGATAGAAACATAACATACCCCTTTCATGTATCTTAGTATGTTAAAGCTGATTGTACATTTCCATCCTGATTACTCACATATTTTCTAAGGTTGAACATTTCTTTAATAGAATCCGATATTATTTAGTAGGCATTGTTTGGTGGCTCCCAACCTTTAAATAGGATTTCATTTCACTCGTAAAAATTTAAGTCAGGTACACTTTACAGTACCACATATTTTTTTAAAGTTTATTAAAATGTCAAAGCCAGGTCAATAAGATTTTATTTTGATATTTAATTGATAAGTATCAAACCTGCCAAAATGTAAAACCTTAGTCTACCTACAGTATCAAAGATATAAAATAAAGATATCAAAAATATAAAGATCATCACAAGTTTGTCTACTGGTTTGGCAAAAAGACATTTTGATAGAATTTTGATTGCTCAAAGAGCCAAAAATTAATTCTTTAGACAGTAGGCCTAGTTATCTTTATATATATATATACATACATTTTTTATAATAAGTCAGAGTTATCCAGTATTCTACCAAAAGATAAATGGGGTTCTAAAAATTTTAGAACTTATTTTTTAGGTATTTTCAGCTTAACACTATTCAATTGCTATCATGCATGCATAAACAGTACATATGATAGAATCTCTTATTTGAAGGCAAATCTTTTGGGCTCAGATTATTCACATCAGAGCAAGTAACAACATGTTCTCAAGTTAAAATGTTTTATAAAAACTAGGGGAAAGAGTAATCAAATAATTATCCTATAGTCCTCGCCACCCTAACTTGAGGCAGCCCAAGGCCGCAGTAGATACACGGCGTGCGGCCTTGGGCTGCCTCAAGTTAGGGTGGCGAGGACTATAGCAAATTCATTGTAGTAGCCTATTCTTTAGTATTACTCAGCATATGCCTTAAAACACTTTTCTACACCTGATAACATTAATTATAATATATCTATGTATTATTTCAGAGCCATCCCTGCAAACCCTCTGCCTAATGTCTGTGATAAAGCACCAACTCGATATCACATATCTTCCAGACATATTGAAGTAAGATAATTGATTTATCTATTCCAAAAGATCTAGTGATCAGACACCAGGTCAGAAAATCAGGTTAAATAAATAAAATCTTTATTAAGCCAGCGTTCATCAGATACAAAGTTCTATTTTTGTCAAATAAGTTACGACTAATAAAAATAAAGTTAAATACAAGCTAGATATGTAATAAAAATACATAAAATTATCTTTAATATTCTTTATGAACGCCTAATAACTGTTTGGTTACGCCCGTTGGCAAAGCATTGTAGACTGGAGGAAAAAAGTAGGAAAAGGCGTTTTCCCCATCTCATTTCTAACTGCAGCAGGCCTTCCCAACTATTCTCTGTATACACTAACTTGGCGTCTGGACCTTAAAAGACTACCTGCGACCGGGTCGGAGCCTTCCCTTGCTCGCCCACTTCCTTGAGCAGCTGTTTCGATAATTAGTCACCCCCGCGTCAGAGTCGTCGTCGATCTCCCATTTGCTGTCATCCGAGTCACCAGGTGCCAAATGTACGATCATTTCCTGGACACTGGTATCATCGAGCCCTTCGTTTATCCAGTCCGAGTCGATGTCTGCTTTAACATGGTTGACACACCTCCGCCAATCGTCTTGAGAGAAAGAGGTCACTGCTTCCATGAATAAATTTTGAACATCAGACAGCTTAAAGGTAGAATTTCTTGAAGAAACATACTTCTTCAAATTTGCCCATACCAATTCGATCGGATTATAGTTACAATGGTATGGCGGTAGTCTTAGAATTTTAAATCCAAGTTGAACAGCTCTCTTGTCAATTTCATACACTGTCACCTGTGATTTGTGTAGCTTAATGAGGTTGTATAGCTCCGGTTTTCTCATATCTGGAGTAAACATGATATTGCGGGAGCTTAGCCATTCTACCATTTCAGCCTTTCTTGAACCTGACGTGGGCGCTTTATTGGCTACCCGCGAGTGGTATGGGGTGTTGTCCATTACAATAATGGATCCAGCTGGAATCGACTTCAGAAGCACTTCAAAAAACCAATCCTCAAAGATTTCAGCGTTCATTTCTTCGTGATACTCAACAGTTTTTTTTTTATTGGAAGATCAATTGGTGGCGCATTAATCCAACCATTGTACCCTCCTGCATGGCATATAATCAGACGTTTGCCTTTGCCTAACGGCGAATTCAATGTACATTTTATGCTATTATCAGTCCATCCAATGCCTTTGCAAATGTTCGCATTGACCCATGTTTCATCTAAGAAAACCACTTTCTTTATGTCTACGTCACGAATCTTTCGTAGGAAACGGCACCTTAAAAGGGCCACTGATGGCTTCTCCATTAGGATTTTTCTATTATCCAACTTCTTCCACTTAAATCCCATGCTTTTCAAAACCTTTGCTAATGTCCGAATGCAACCGGTAAACAAATTAGCTTGAAATAATGTATTTTTTAGTCTCCGAAGAGTCGGTACTTCTTTGCGCCTGTAATAGCCTACTACATGATTACGGATAGCAGTCTTATCAAAATCATCAAGTTCTGATACAACGGATTTAAAAGGTTTCTTACGTCTCGGTGTGTGAAGTTGTGGCACTGGATTGATGTCCCTTCCTGGTGGTTCGTTGCTCCCTGGTTGGGGTGTAGATTCTCGATGTTGAGGTCATCATTGCTAGCACTTCCGTCATCTACAATTGCGTGTCTCAACTGAACCTTAATCCTACACAGAGTTCGTGGTGAAATGTTGCATGCTGCAGCTACTCTCTCGGAAACCTTTTTCACATCCAGTAAAGGTCCTTTGTTGTCACGTTCCTTCTCAAAATAATCCAATACTGAGGCTATAATAGTTCTTGCCTGCGAGTTGTACGGCGTAGTTCGTTTTTCTGTCGATGGTGGCATTTTCCGGACAGATCACATCACATGAGCCAAGTAAACACAAAATATACGTTTAACACTAACTTTTGTCAATGGCGACACACTTCAAAGCAAAATATAAATGCGATAGTACCGTGAATACAAACTTAAAATAACTGAGAGCTTGCAACCACTGTGGATAATTTACGCACGACGATACTTTGGCTAACACCCGCTACGAACTGAAGTTACCACCCCTTACTAGCAGGACAGGTTTTAGGACGTGAATCACTCAATTCCCGGAATATGACTGTGAACACCGTGAGTCATATGTAGGCCTACAGCAAGACATAAGGGTTGGTTTAAGCATAGACAAAATCAACGGTATACATAATATGGATTATTAACCCCCCCCCCCCCCACTTGACATATATTTAATATAAATAACATTATTAGGTATCGCGTTAAATTAAATAAAAATACATTTATATTAACCAAATTTATATAATTTAAGCTTCACAATATTAACACGTTCGCCCGCGCTCCGCCACGCTGCGGCGCGCCGCCCGGGCGGTGATGTGCACCCGCCATACTTATTCCGTTTGAGTGCAGCCGCACTCCGGTGTAGGTCGAAATATTTTTGTCCGTGCTTCGTGTATGACAGTAGCAGTTTTGTGGTGCAATCCATTTGTAATTATCGTTACTCGTTCCGAAACTATACCTGGTGGATTTTGACTCACTCATTACGTTTGTTAACTGTAATTTTGTGCTATATTAATTTTGTTTTATTGTAAAATAATGGCATCTACTGTGGGTGTTTAGCAAACTACGTCGACTCTTGTCATGAAACAGGACATCACCACACGTTATTTGATATTCGTCATACAAAAATATGAAAGCCAATAGCCCGGCAATCGGGTTTGTTCGACGCTGCGGGCTGCGCCGCACTGGGGCTATGCCTACCATTTGATGGGCAGCAGCGAACGTGTTAACGGAATATGGTCGAGTTTGGTATCATTTTTCTTAAAATTTCATGAACTTTTTGCTTGTGCGGAAAAAAAAAATTAAAATTCCGTCCCGCACAAAAAAGTTGATAATTGCAGTGGAGGTGCTACTAGGTGACTAATTATGGAAACAGCTGTTCAAGAAGTGAGCGAGCGAGGGACGGTCCCGGCCCCTCCGCAGGTAGTCAAGGGTTCAGACGCCAAGTTAGTGTATACAGAGAATAGTACTGCGCTCACAAACCTCAGATCTACGTAACAATTTGGTATTCAGATACTGAGGCTGGTTTGTCAGCAGTGTCTCCAATCCCATTCATTGTTGCCATTCCATTGGTTCTCTTTTAAAGTTGCAAGGAAATCAGGATAACAGATGACAGGTGTTGCCGCGATTGTGGGAGACGATAATCTTTTTACCGAGACCACAAGATATGCAACGACTGTTACCGCAATCGCCGTAAACGATATTGGTATTGCCGAGGTTTTAAGCGCAGGTGAAGATCATCGGTGTTTGGTATCAAACTTTTTTCATTTGCCTATGCTGGCTTTCTGTAGGCAAAAAAAAAATCTTTTTGTGGGCCGTTTGTGATCTGCAAATAGGAAACCCCTGGTTTACAAAACTGCATGAGATGATCAGGATTTTGCCACATCGGTGGAAGACATATATGGCGTTTCTGTGGCCATGGGAGATTATCTTTACCGCTGATAATGAAATATAATATTTATTATAACGTTTTACACACACATTAAAATAGTAATACTGATATGCGAGTCAGATCACTCACTTGTGATGCTATTCATGCATCCCGTCTATATATTGACCAGCCATAGCCAGTTTTTGTTTAAATTGAACATAGTTGGATGATCCACTCAGAAGTGTGCCGTTACGTCTGTTACGATGGTTGATGTGACACAATAATTTACATCAGCACAATCTGTCGTTGGCTTGATCCCAATACGTTAATTGTAAAACTGGTAGGGATCTAAAGAGTCATACAAGTGATCGTCCAAACAACTTTAAGCTGGAACCGTCTAATGTACGTACCAATGAGATTTGAACAAAAGGTAGTTGTACGTTCTAAATATTAGTACCTGGGGACCGAGCTTTGCTCGGGGAACATTAGTTTACTCTGAAAGCAGTCTTAGTATTGCAGTTACATGAATCCATTCCCCACACTCCGCACTGCTAGCCTTTACTAATTCTTTCACAATTTCCTGTGTCGTGGACATGTTTCCATCCCTTCTCATGGCATATCAGTATTTCAGATACATTATTCTAACTGCTACAAACTGTTTCCAGTTCCCACCCTCCACACTAATAGCTTTTTCTACTTCCTATGTCCCGCACCAGTTTCGCTCCCATCCCATAGCATTTTTGGATTGCAGAAACCTTAATATAATCGTTATAAACGGTTCCCACACTCCGTATAGCTCACCTTGACTACTTCCTTCACCACTTCCTACGTCTCGGACCTGTTTTCCTCCCTTCCTATAGCATTTTAGGATTGCAGATACCTTAATCTAATCGTCATAAACAGTTCCCACACTCCGGACTGCTCGTATTTTCTACTTCCTTCACCACTTCCTACGTCGCGGACCTGTTTCCCTCCCTTCCCATAACATTTTTGGATCGCAGATACCTTAATCTAATCGTCATAAACAGTTCCCACACTCCGGACTGCTCGCCTTTTCTACTTCCTTCGCCACTTCCTACGTCGCGGACCTGTTACCTCCCTTCCCATAACATTTTTGGATTGCAGATACCTTGATCTAATCGTCATAAACAGTTCCCACACTCCGGACTGCACGCATTTACTACTTCCTTCACCACTTCCTACGTCTCGGACCTGTTTTCCTCCCTTCCTATAGCATTTTAGGATTGCAGATACCTTAATCTAATCGTCATAAACAAACAGTTCCCACACTCCGGACTGCTCGCCTTTTCTTATTCCTTCGCCACTTCCTACGTCGCGGGCCTGTTTCCCACCCTTCCCATAACATTTTTGGATTGCAGATACCTTGATCTAATTGTCATAAACAGTTCCCACACTCCAGACTGCACGCCTTTACTACTTCCTTCGGCACTTCCTACGTCGCTGACCTGTTTCCCTCTATTCCCATAGCATTTTAGGAATGTAGTTACCTTAATCTAATCGTCACAAACAGTTCCCCCACTCCGGACTGCTCGCCTTTACTACTCCCTTCATCACTTCCTAAGTCGCGGACCTGTTTCCCCTCCCTTCCCATAGCATTTTAGGATTGTAGATACCTTAATCTAATCGTCATAAACAGATCCCACATTCCAGACTGCTCACCTTTACTACTTCTGTCATCACTTCCTACGTCACGGACCTGTTTCCCTCCCTTCGCATAGCATTTTAGGATTGCATATATCTTAATCTAATCGTCATAAACAGTTCCCACACTCCAGACTGCTCGCATTTACTCCTTCCTTCATCACTTCCTACGTCGCGGACCTGTTTCCTTCCCTTCCCAAAGCATTTAAGGATTGCAGATGTCGTAATCTCATAAACAGATCCCACACTCCACACTTCTACCCTTGACTACAATGTATCGTGTAATCTTCAGTATAATCTTTGCTCAATAGTAACAACTGATGTTTTTCCTTTTGTGCTGTTTGCTAGTATACTGCGGACAGACAACTTACAAGTCCTTTGTTTACTTTTGCCTTGTTATTTAGTTCAACCAACATGGTTACTTAGCAACCCATAAGACTAATGTTAACACAAATGTGAATTTTAATTTCATTTTTCTACGTTATTAGATTTTTGTTGGCAGTTCTAACTGCAGTAAACTCGTTTTTAGGTCAGGAATAAACTATTTACAACATTTAAAGAAAATCGTCGGAGCCGTTTTCGAGATCTTGGTGCAAGCAAGCAAGCAAGCATACATACATACATACAAGCAAACATTGCTCGTATTAGAGTATAGGATTAAGATTGTAATAGTAATACTATACTGGTATGTCTACAGATGGGAGTTCTATGCGATGACAACTCACAACTCAACCATCCAGAGGCTTAAAAGTAGCAATCAGGGATAAAACACCAGCAACAACCACGTAACGTAACTTTCTTTCAGCATTTTGGGTCATCAGGATTTTCACATTTCATATGTTTATACGGCTTGGCAATTTTAAAGAATTCGACCCCGTTAAAAAAGTTGAAAGCTTAATTTTTTCAAAGGTTTTATGCTCGAAGAGTGTACTGCTAATAAGACACAGTCACAGTATTAATGTTAACATTAATACGTAAAAACATTACGTATATTTTTAGCATAATAATATATGCTAACTCTAATAAATATGTGCATTTTCTTTCCTGAAAAATTAAATCAGATAACCTTGTACCAACTAGGGTTTACTTATTGTTTATTTACCCTTATCCTTATCAGTTACAAAGGCTTCCAGTCAAATATGTATGAAATGAGTACAGTAAAGTAGGGATGAGCAGGAATAGGTCAAGCACGATGTCCACTATCGACAGTAACATCGGTGTTAAACATTGATGTACCGATAACACTGTCACAAAACATAGATGTTTTCAATGCAATTATATCAATATAGCCGATGGTTTTTAGTTATATAACGAGATAACCTAGTTAGTGGCTACTTAACTAGCTGGATGTTCTAGACTGACAGTTTCTCTTTCACATTTGCAAGACAAAATATCTGTTTTAATTGATTATTCTGAAGCAGGAGTGCTGCCGATGAAATTGATTACTAATGAATTCATTTTTGGGAGGATATAGAACAAGCACTTCAGCAATGTAGATATTTTAGTCATATGTCAGATCTCACTTCTGTATTGTTTAGGTCTAGTCCAGTTCACGATATTTCATCAGATTTCAATAGAATAAATACAAAAATTCACTTTCTTTAAGCATTCAAATTTTCATTAAAAAAACTAATACAATTCAGTAGCAGAATTCAGTAACAAAAACATTGGTATCCAACCATGGTTGTGAAAAACATCGAACGTCGATAGGAACCTGGATGTTTCAAAAATATGGACTATCGATCATCCCAACAGAAAACCCTAATTAATTTGTGCTGATTGGGCACCCATATCATCCAGTTTAAATTAAATATTTTCAATCTGGAGAAATTCAATGATGTACCGGGACTATTTGGGTACCCTTGTGTTTAATAAATCTCTTTTAGATAATAAAATATCAAATGTGTGTTTTGAACTAGGCCTATGAAAAAAAAACACACAGAAAACAGCTTTAACCATCTTTGTAAGATGTGCTAAAAACTCCTCATTTTAATTTGATGGATTTCAAACTTAGTTCTATGAAGAGCAGCTAAATGAAAGTCTAGGAAGGGAAGTCAATATTACTGAAGCCCAAAAATGGGAGTTTACTGTACATTATAGGGAGAGTACAATATTCAATGTGCACTTTTAACTCTAATGATATCTAATTGAGATTAATATATACATAGATACGTGTCATAGACTCGTAGATACATTTAAACAATTAAATCAAACAAAATTCAGATTGGATTGACTTTTCAGTTAGTAGTAACAGTAATAATTTTTTTTAATTAAATCATCTGCTTGAAAAATTTGTGAAATCCAACTGAAGAAATATACATTTTTATGGATTCAAAATCAAGACTATTGATTTATACTTTTATCTAATTTCAAATGTGTTTTGTAGGAAATATTGTCTAGTAAAAGCCTTTAATTTTATTGTGAAGAAAAAAAGGTGAGAAATTCATGCTTAAAGTTTATGAAAAATATCCTTTCTCAAGATTAAGTCTTTTTATATATTTGGTTTGTATAAAATACTCAAGTAGTCAAATTAATAATTCCTGATGACCCTGAAATGTAACTCATTAATTTAGCTTTAGTGTGGTCACTTATTGACCCTGATTTATTGAACAATCAATACAACGTTCAGGAATATCTGCTTTATAATATGTTTTCTTTAAAAATATATTGTGATATCAGTATCTAAGATAACTATCTGTAAAACTCATTTTTCAATAAAATATCAAAACTATTGAAATCATTTTAGTTTTCCGTATTTAATCTATAATTCAGTTAATGAATAAGAATTATGGATTCACTTAGGAATGTTAACTTCCATAGCTGCAATATATTTTACATCATTTGTTTACTTAAATGCAAATAATAATTATTGTTTTGCCTGATGCTTTCAATTAGGTTAAGGAGTTAACATTTTTTATTATCTGACAAAAACTATTCATCAATAATTGCCTACAATTACCTAGTTACCTTCTAATTTGTACAATTAGTCATCCAATGTAAGGACTGTGCACATTGATGTTTTTTTGAAACATTTAAACATAAGTTTAACAAGGGAAGTATTTTGGATCGAAGCTGTTATTATTTTGACATGAAAGATTTACTAAGCAATTAACAAACTTGCTTTAATTTAATGTTTAAAAATGGTTGATTTCACTAGCCACCATTTATATATTTATAAAAATCAATCCTATTAGAATACATTCTTTATGTTTGTTGTTACAAAATATATATTTGTATTTGTTCTTAACTGTATAATTTTAGTATATTATTTTCTACGGGAAACATAACGTAATGCGAGTTGATATTATTAAAGGATTGAATTCATTTTGTGATGTTGTATAGTTCAAAATAAATTATTTATACTAAAAATTGTGCACGTTACAGTCTTGTCATTTATAAAACCTATAAAAATACAATTCATAATTCATTATTTATTTGAAATAGAATTCATACTACTGCCGGAGAAAAAAGTTTAGACACTCGAGTTTGGAGCTCTACAGAAAAGTAACCAAACTAACTTAGAAAAACACGTAGTATACATAAAGTTTCCTTCTTTTATTCTACGTATTCCTGTGAAAACTATTTTAGCTTGTTTAGGAAATTTTTTATGACAGTCGGAAGGTAAAAACTGTAATCTAAACGTCAGAACTTTATCAAACTTTAATGAAATATAGACACATATACAATTAATTAATTTGAGTAGTTTCAGAATTTTTACTCAACCCAAAAAGTTTTTGTTGTAACTTTTGTAAATTAACTTTTTCTCAAAAATGGCAAACGCTAAAAAAAATTTAAAAGTTTGTTTTGAAGGTGATTGGTTTTGTATTTGAAATATTGAAACTGCTCCACCAAATTGTTTTCACAGGAATACGTAGAATAAAACAACGAAAATGTATATATACTACATGTTTTTCTAAGTTAGTTTGGTTACTTTTCTGTAGAGCTCCAAACTCGAGTGTCAAAACTTTTTCTCCCGACAGTAAGCACACTGCATACCTTTTGTAAAGCGAAATTGGGAAGGGAAACAAATAGATTTTGTTTGTTATCCTATAGTAATAAATAAGTAGAAAAATAAAAAAATACCCCTGCCACAGCAAACCTGCAGACTAAACTAATTCCATTTCCTTGAGTAGATTTTCAGTATAATACTTACTTAAAAGTTTTACTTGTATGCCCCACTTAAATAATATTAGGTTTTTAGGTGTACTGCTACAGGATGGTTAATATAGTGTGTGTTTTAGTGATATGGAAGTGTCTTCCATAAGTTCTTCCGTAACATTCATTCTTCTCATGTCGTTTCAGACTTGGTCCCACCACCGCAATCTCTGTTTGCCCATTGAGCATTCAAAAATACTTCGATGTACTAAATTATTTGTTTTGTAAGGTCAACAAAATGTATTTCAAAGAAACCTTTTTCACCCCATAAAATCCCATTACGATAGTCCAATCATGCCGGTCTGTAAACTCATTCAAATAAACGTAGATTTTCATTAAATAAAAAACAAATAATCTGATAATTTTCACTCAAGTTATTGTGCTAACTGAAACACACACAAACAATACAGTAATAGGGTCAGCATACTATTCATGAAATATAATTGGAGAAATTTGGGTTTACATGTTTTGTAGGTACCAAATTTTATCAAAATCTGATCATTTTTACTTGAGTTATCGTTGAAAGGACGTATGAATCGAGAGAATGTTGTTTTTTGGCCTCTGGTTTCATCAAAATGAAAAAGTAAATGGATCCTGAGTCCAACTCTAACCATGACACCTATGGTACAGTTGACCTTCCCCCCTTAACCGACCCTATTATTGGGACCTAGGTCGGATAACTCACAAGGTCAGATGGGCAATCCCTATAAACATAAAAAATTAAGTGTTATTTATTTGGAATTAAATAAGCATTATTTTGAAGTCGTACTTGCATTATTTATGAAATAAACTACACTTACACTCTTTTTTTGTATTCAAAGAAAAGTTACAAATAAACACAAAACACGGCAAGCCAAATACTTTCAGTGGAATAAAATAAATTATAGTTCTTGGCAAGAGTCAATAAAAATTCATATATTAATAACTTTAGTACTGAACTGTAATGTTAATTGATGACTCCAAATCTATCGTAATACAGTAAAGAACTTTTTGTCAAATTTGTTAAGATACAAGCAGTCAAGCAACCATTGTGTTACGAGACAGGATGTTTATTTATAGCCTCTAACTGGAGGCTTGAGTCCCAAAAACCATTTTGACCTTGGAGTAGTTGACCCCCCTCCCCTGCCCATCCTACAAGTCACGTTTTTTTACTCTGGCGATAAGGTAATTGTACTTACTTACTGCTTACTGCCATGGCCACTTGTACCCTAGCTGGTACTTGGCCTCGCCAACACGCTGTCGCCAATAGTCTCGGTCCCATGCATCTTCCTCTACAAGCCTCATCCTTTCCAAATCTTTTCGTACTTGACCCCACCACCTGGCTTTCGGTCTACCTATTGGTCTTCTTCCCCTCGGATTTCCTCTGAGTGCTATCTTCAGTAGACTCTCCTCCTTTCTCCTTAGGATATGGCCAACCCACCTTAATCTTCTACTCTTAACCCGTATTTCTTCTAAGAGAAGAATCTTCTATTTCTTCTCCCGGTTGTGGCGGATTCTCCATACTCCATCTTCACATACTGGCCCATATATAGTTCTCAAAACTTTGTTCTCAAAAGTTATTATTTTCTTTTCTGAGTTCTTGCTCAGGATCCAATTTTCCCCTCCATATAAAAGTACAGGTCTTACTATAGTTTTGTAGATTCTAATTTTTGTCTTTCTCGTCAAAAGTTTTGATTTCATTAGCTTACTGCATGCGTACCAACTCTTATTTGCTAAATTTATCCTATTCTGAATTTCCATGTCTTCCGTATTTTTGTCAGATAGTAGAACGCCTAGATAGGTGAAATTATTTACTCTTTGGAATTCATGGTTGTTGACTTGAAAAAACTCTTCATTATTTCCAGCTTCTCCTCTTGTTACTATCATGAATTTGGTTTTTGCATCATTTATTTTTAGCCCTACATACTCAGTTTCATTTATTAGTATCTCCGTTAAAACCGATAAGGTAATTGTAGATTGTATTATTACTAAAATGGCAGCAGTTTTCAGAAACATAAATTTTTTGGATAAATACAAAATAACTAATTCTTAGTCACATCCTGTGGAGATAAGCGTACGGTTCCCATCCCCGAGCGTGGGAGCGGAAATGCCGAGAATCCTAGAAATCGGCGGTTAAACCGAACTGCTCTTAAAGCAAGGTCAGTTATAACAAACTGTATTTTACGATCGAGGGCGGATAATCCGATTATCGGTTAATGTGAGGTCTGTTAAGAGGGTGTCTACTGTAATAGCTTATTCCACATAGGCCAAATTGGGTGAAATGATATAAAACAACGTTGTGTCAAACACACATCATAAATGTATTCCGCAGCTAACATGTTCTACAAATTAACCCCTTAATCGTCAAGGAGGGGTTATAATGAGTTTTATAGGTTATAATGAGCAACTAACCTTCTCTTACAATTACTTATCACAGCGTTATTAAATTATATCAACTATCAAAGTGTTATCTACTTTTCCACAGTAAAAGCTTTGCATTGTACAAATTTATAGCCAAGAAATGTAACAATGGAAGCATTGTTTTTTGGATGGTTAAAATTGATAATAATCACCTATTGTTTTCTGGCACAAAATTGTGAAGGTGTGTCCATTTCTTCTCGTTATCTTAGAGAATGAAGAGAAGATTTCTGTCATTTGGATATGGGATTTATTTTTTCACGTTAATAGTTTCAGCTTGTGCAGTTAATCATCCGTGTAGGAATGAAAATAACCATCCGGTTGACTGGTATGTTAGTAAAAAAAATATGTAAAGACATACAATACAATACAATACAATACAATATTCTTTATTGTTAATTCGTCAAGAATTACAATAGTGTCAATACAATAGTGAATTGTACATGTTAATTTTCATAAAATTCCTTTATTGAGTAGAAGGGTCTTGCGATTAGCCACTTCTTCAGCTCCTGGTGTAGCTTGTTGCCAGTCAGGTCTCTCAGGTAGTCAGGTAGATGGTTCCTCAGCTTGCAGCCGGTGTAGGAAGGTTTTTTCTCCCAAAGAGTTGTTCGGTGAACTGGTAGTGCAAATTTGGAGCCATGACGGGTGTTGTAGTGGTGCAGGTCTTGGTTTCTTGGGGGGTTTATTTCATTCACATACTTAATGGTTTCAAGTATGTAGAGAGACACCACTGTGAGGATTCCTAGGTTTACGAATGCTAGTCTGCAAGTCTGTGGTGGTACAAGGTTGGCGAGGGCTCTTATGGCTTTCTTTTGAAGGACAAGAATTCGATTCATATTTTTTGTTGAAGTTCCTCCCCACACTGTCAAGCCATATCTAAGATGCGACTCTACCAGTGCGAAGTAAGCTGTTTTGGCCACAGAGAGTCCGCCTATGTAGTTTATCCTTCTGACGACATATATTCCAGTACTGATTTTTTTGCTTAGGTGGTTGATGTGCTCTTTCCATGTTAGTTTGTTATCAAGGATAACACCGAGAAATTTTGTGTAGTTTTCTATTGTTACATCCTCTAATTGAGGGACTATGTCTTTTTTCTTACTGAAATTCAGAGTTGTAGTTTTTGTGGGGTTTATTGCTAAGTCATTGTTCTTTGAGTAGAGGATAGCTTTATTTAAGATCGATTTTGAATTAAGGTAAAGGCTTTGGGCTGTATTGTCCTTGATCAAAATGGTTGTGTCATCTGCATACATGATTGCAACAGCATTTTCACTCTCAATTTGTTTGGGGAAGTCATTAGTCAATAAGATGAATAGAATCGGGCCTAATACAGAGCCTTGTGGAACTCCTCTTGTCAGCTTGCTTTTTGAAGATTTGAAACTTTCTGTGACTTCATTTGATGAGTTTTTCAGTTCCACGACTTGTGAACGTCCCGTTAGGTAGCTTTTGAACCATTCTAGCGCAGAGTTTCTTATACCGAGTCTTTCAAGTTTCTTGCATATCAGGTCGTGGCCCAGGCAGTCAAAAGCCTTACTGTAATCAAGGAAGATGGCGGAAATGTATTGTTCATTTTCTATCTGGTCTAGGACGTACTCAATTAGTGCTGTTATAGCTGAGGATGTAGATTTATTCTTCCAAAAGCCATGTTGGTTGTCAGTTAAGAGTTTGTTATGATTAAGATGTGCCATTAATCTAGCCAGAGCAATTTTTTCTATGATTTTAGAGAAACTGGAGATGAGAGAAATGGGCCTGTAGTTTTGAGCATTTTCAGTTGGTCCTTTTTTATGTTTGGGGTATATTTTACTGACTTTTATGGTGGATGGGAATTTGCCTTCTTTAAATGATTTATTTATAAGATAAACCAGAGGAGAGATGAGTTCTTGAGAGCAGTGCTTTATCATCTTAGAGGAAAACTCATCTATTCCACTTGATGTTTTGGCTTTTAGGGAGTTTATTATCGTTTTAACTTCTTTATAGGATGTTGAAGTTAGGGTAAGGTGTATTGGGCAGACTGGTTCCTCTCCACTCAGCACTGTTTCAGGGTCTATAACGATTGCTCTGTTTTGGTCAAGGGTATTTTCTGCTATATTTGAGAAGAATGTGTTGAAGTGTTCGGCCATTTCTTTTGTGTTGTTTGTGAGTTTGCCATTTATTTCTAATTCTGCAAGGGTTTTCTCTTCACATTTTCCTTTCCTTTCCTTGTTTATAACTTGCCATAGTGCTTTTGGTTTGTTGTCAGCTTGTTCTATGAAGCTAGCTGTTGAGGACATTTTTAGGTTTCTTAGTTTCATGTCGTATATCCTTTTTCTATTAATCATTTCTAATTTGTCTTCATTTCTGTTCGTTAACTCAAACTTTTGCAGAGCTTTCAAAAAGTTCTCTTTAAGGTATTTTGCTTCAGGATCGTAGTACTTCATATGTTTTTTGTTTTTAATAATTTTAGTTTTCTTTAATGGGCATGTATAATCCAGTGCTGTTTGAAGAATATTATGAAATTTGTTGTAGGAGGTTTCAAGATTGGGTGAAGAGTAAACATGTTCCCAATTTTGTAGATGGAGGTGGGCCTTCAGATTGTTTAGGTTTGTGTTGTTTAGGCTTCTTTTCATTACAAATCTTTGGGAAGTGTCTTCTTGGTGTGTTTTCAGCAGGCACAGCTGCGCAGTGTGGTCAGATAGACCAGTATGCACAACTTGTCCAGTAATATACGCACATGGTATGTTTGAGCATATACAGTCTATTGAAGTGGCTGTGTCATGGGTTATTCTGGTGGCCTCTAGAGGAAATCTCCAGATGTTTTGTGTGGTTAACTCTTCTTCCAGCATGGTGTTTTTGGAATCTTGGGTGAGCCTGTCGATATTTATGTCACCGATAAGTATTAGGTTTTTCTTGTGTACTTCTTGTAGTTCTAGCGTGTCTGATAGGAGGTCAAGGGCAATTCTTGCATTTTCGATTGGTGGTCTATAGATTCCCAGAATGTAGATATCCTTTTTCTTTGTTGTCTGCATGCGAATCATTGCTGCTTCGAAAATTAACTCCTGGCATGTGTTTGATATGTTAATAGCTGATACTGTATCAGCAAGGGATTCCTTGGAATATATTGCAACACCTCCAAGTTTATGTTCTTCTCTACTAAAGTGGGTAATTAAAGAGTAGCCGGGAATTTTTGTAGCTTCTAGCTCTGTTTTTTTCAGTCCGTGTTCAGTCAAGACTAGAATGCTTGGTTTTGTGTCATTGAGAATATGGTGTAGTCTGTTCGTCTTTGTAGCAAGTCCTCTAATATTTTGGTGCATTATTCCTACACAAGAATTATTTGGAGATTTGCAGATTTTTCTTTTGCTTTTTTTCAGGCTGTTTGTTTCTAAAAAAGGGGTTATAGTATGGGGCACATTCTTAACTTGCCACAGTTTTACCTACAAGTTGAAGATTTGTTATGTTACTTTTGCCTCCAATCTAATCAAAATACCTTTGGTACTCAAAAGGTGACTAAATAAAGTAAAAAATTATCAATTAACCAAAGACATAAAAAAAATTTCAAATCAATTGGTATACAAGCATAAGCTACACAATGGGAACTTTCTGCCTTGGTACAGGTAGTTGGCCTCGCTTGGCCTGAGTCATTGTTATGGTGATGATTGTTGATTATTTTATTTTATTTTAAGAAATATACTTTTTTTACAGTTGTATATGTTAAAATGACAATACATAAAATTGTTAGCTATTTTAGTAATAATACAATCTACAATTACCTTATCGCCAGAGTAAAAAAACAACGTGACTTGTAGGATGGGCAGGGAAGGGGGGTCAACTACTCCAAGGTCAAAATGGTTTTTGGGACTCGAGCCTCCAGTTAGAGGCTATAAATAAATATCCTGTCTCGTAACACAATGGTTGCTTGACTGCTTGTATCTTCAAATTTGACAAAAAGTTCTTTACTGTATTACAAGTTATTTACTGTAAAAACAGTACAGATTTTTAAAAAATTGAAATAGCTCTTTAATTCCAACTATTGGTAAAAAAATCCAAAATGGCTTTGCTCTTTTTATTAGGGTTAGTTGGGGGTTTTACTCTTCCTCGTCTCAACAGTTTCTTGGTGTGTTTGTTTATAGAAATTTACGATTACCTCTTAAAATAGTCGTAATTTAAAAATTTTTGACAACACAAAATTCTCCAAATGTGTTACAATCTTACGTTTAAATTGCAATAGACTTAAAAAATGCATGTTACATGTGAACAACTGTGGATAATGATTAGCAATTACCTCTACCAATAACTAATGTCAACGTTTTATTCGTTAAGCTTAGCAGTAGTTTTTAATTTGTTTATCGATCAACTGAGTTCGCCATTTTGTATTTGTTATGTTAGATTTGTTCAAGTTAGTGGAGGTCTTGTAATATCCTGAGCTGCTTACATCTTGAGAATGAAAGATGATTTTTGTTTTTTAGCTGTAACTTTAGTTTTTTCTCTAATTATTGTGCTTGTTTGTTCAGTAAAACATACATGTCGCGATGAAAGAAACCATAGTGTTGCCTGGTATGTAGAGTAAATTCAGATAGAACTTAAAAAAATTGTAATGGTTTTGAACTTTTAATCGAATCTGACCTTTTCCATGAATTTGACTCGTGAACAACTAATAAAGTTAAAAACATAAAAATCTCCAACCCTACTAATAATTATCAAAATTTAATTCTTTGTCAGTATTTGATTAAGTTTTAATCATTTGAGTTCCTCAAACTGATACATCGGAAGTCAAAGTAACATCAAAACTTCCACTAACAAGTTACATGCAAGTACAATGCAACAATAGTAGTTTTCATCACTAGAAGCAAAAGTAGCTCTTCTCGGTGCAGCCGAGCTTGGAAATACGATACAAAGTACCAAAAAGACACTTTCACTCCGTCTGATGAACAACTATTTTCATCATACTGTGGAAATAACCTTCTAATCGTTACAAAATTAGACCACATAATTTGAGGTTATACAAAGTCATCATCAATGTTTACATTCTGTTGTTTACAAACATAACTCAAAATATCGTGATAGCAGCGTTTAAAAAAAAAAAATTAAGTGTGCGAACCGAAAAATTTACCTTATGTTTTTTTTCTGTTTCCTATTTGAAGTTACCCAAAAATTAAAAACAGGCGTTTTCCGTACAGTATGATGAAATAACAGTTGAAGCTATACATGACATTTTTTAACTTGCGAGTAAAGTTTAGAAGTATTGTAACACTTGTGGGCTATTGGTTGACCTGGTTTGCTAGTGCGAGACGATTTGATCTGATCAATGGGCATCAATGGGGTCTAAATAGTTTTCTCTCTAGCGAGAACACAACATCATTAATTTGATTGGGGTTTTAAATCCTGACCCTCTTGGGGTCTGATGAATCATAACTTTGTCAGTATATGGTGGAAGAGTCCCACAAAAAGTAAATGTTGATTGTTGAGGGTGGCTGTCAAGAGAATGGGTGAATTATTTGTGTGCTGGTCCTTAAATCAGCCATTTTCTACTTGTGTGTCCACTTAAAAAAGTAGAGATGTAAGCTATTGTTTTTTCCCAGAAACACAACGTTCGGCAGAATTTTCCGCCCGCCAATACCAGGTTGCCTAATAATGTTATTTCAGCAACGTTACCGAGAGCTTGTTTGCGAATGTTCGTTGTCAAGAGTACCTTGTTGACGGGCGTTGTGTCCCAGCGATTGTTATTAAATGTGTTGGATGTTCCTAAACATTTACTAGCAACAGCAAACTCATCAACAATGTTAATTATTGGTTTCTTAAAACAGCGTTTGGCGGATCTGATGATGATGTGATAACAGGGAGTTCGTTGCAACAGGCTAGCCTGATGACAGTTGTTATGTGACAATCCTGTTACTGTATTCATCCTGTTATATAACTCATCTCTACTAAAAAAAGCTTTACTTTGCTATTTACTTTAGTTTTTGTATTTACCTGATATGTTGTTACCAGAAGCTTAAGATGGGTTTTGATGAAAACTCTAAATATATCTCCACATTTTTTTTTGTAATTGTGTATAGTTTTAATTAAATCTAAGGCTTACCTTACGATTCAATTTATTATAAAGTGGAGACCTAGGTTTCTACGTCGAAACGTTATCGTCAGTCCTTTGTCTCATAGGTTAACTAAACTTCTTGTTTGCCATCTCTTGCTTGAGATATTGTCGATTTGGTAATAATTTGTACACACATTGATCACATATAAATATTTACAAAGACATAAATGGAAACAACATAGATACATGGCCATGATCTTCGTCTTTATCAAACCTAACCTCCATTAGGTTTGAGGTTAGGTTTTATAAAGACGAAGATCATGGCCATGCATCTATGTTGTTTCCATTTATGTCTTTGTAAATATTTATATGTGATCAATGTGTGTACAAATTATTACTAAATCGACAATATCTCAAGCAAGAGATGGCAAACAAGAAGTTTAGCTAACCTGTGAGACAAAGGACTGACGATAACGTTTCGACGTAGAAACCTAGGTCTCCACCATAAATTGGATCGTAAGGTAAGCTTTAGATTTAATTATGTACAATAACGATCCAGAGGCTATATCTCCAAATATAGTTTTAATTTAGTAATGAGTAACCAACAAACCAAGAATAACCTTAAAAGAGCTTTAAAAACTTTTGATATGGATTTTGATATGTAATTTCAAAGGGGAAAATGATAAAATAGCACAATTTAATCACAGAGTCATCCTTTAAGTTGAGAGGATTAACAATGGCCATGTGAGGAAACAATAATTGAAGTAGTAAGGTTTGTTTTGTTAACACCTGTTTGAATACCTTTAGTCAGCGCTTTAGTCAGGGCAACATAGCCTTGGACCACAGTGATGTTATGTTTTTTTCTTCTAGATACTAATCATCTAATACTTCTCTACTAGTGTCATACTAATACTTCTCTGAAGCACTAAGAACATATTGTTATAATTCTAATTTATTTTATTCATGACCTCGCAATTCGTAAACCATAGTAATTTAAAATGCAATTAAATTTAATTTTATGTAAATTTAAACAATTGGTGAGTTTCAGCATTGATATTTTTAAGATCTTATAACTCTCTTAACATAACTGAGGTGAAAACAAACTGATATTAGTTTTGAACAGGTTTGTCGTTTACAAACTACCTCGTTTGCCAAATCATGATGATGATTCGGTCAAACATGGAAAGGCTTATGCTTACATAACCTCTAGAGGGAAAATTGAATGGAAACTTTCTGAAAAGTCAGTACAAGCTGAGGATACCTTACTTGGAAATACGTTCAGTCCATTATATGAGGTAATTTATAGTACAATAATTTAATTATCAGTTTAATATTTAATTCTAAAATATTGCTTTATTGTACAATCTATAATCAGTTGAAAACATTATAAGGTATGTTTTTTGTGGTGTATGGAAGGGTGTGTTATGATGTTCACTATTTATTTTGCCAACGGAGGCAGAGTACTTAGTAGGGAACCAAGGTTCAGGCAAGGGTGTATATTGAGCTGAGATAGATCATATAATGAGGAGGGTGAATGAAATCAAAAGTTCAAGGTCATTTAAATGGATTTGTTAACACATTCACTGCCCATGACGAGTAATCTCGTCACTGCTAGCGCTTTCCAGTTGCGTGCGACGAGTATCCTTGTCAATGCGCCGTTTTCAGACTGTTGTTAAAACGCGAGGTTAGCCACTGACGTGAGACGTTGTTGCGCTTGCCGCTTATTGTGCCAGTGTTATACTTCAATCTGGTATAGTTTGTTTTCTGATCCGACTACTTTGTTGGTGGTAGGATGGGTTACAAATTTATTGTAGTGTGGGGTTGTAGGATCGGATCTAATGACATGCAATTAAATAACGTTAATGAATTTACTGTAGCATTGTGGAAGGAACCTATCCTCAAAATTGTGCTTGACTACTTGTTTACCATTGTGTAGTAGTATTTTTTAATGGTGTATCCGGGTAATTCACCCCTGTTTTTTTCCTCCATTTGACAAAACTGAGAGCCTGCAAGCAGTATTGTTTAGTGCTGCTATCTGTTGGGTTCTTGTAAAACTATGTCCACAACGACTGGGAAACAGTATATGCCTCTCTTTTGGATGAAACTAAATTTAAACGTTTTTGTGCAATTGCCCACGTAGCGCATTAGATGTTTGCAACACCCGGTCATCTCACAGCAGCATTGAATGTGTTAAGCTGTCCCACACAGGGATCGGTTGATGTGGATGTGGGATATATATATAAAAAAAGATCAAACAGAACACTTAAACCATAAATCTTTTTTTATATTTTTTGTTTATGCCCTTTTATGTCTTTTATAGTATACTAGCTGTACCCGCGGGCTTTGCCCCGTTTAACTTCATAAGTATTCGCATGGCTCAAACACGTCCTGGTTGAAGTTCGTTCGCTAAGCTCACTCACCTTTAGGTTGGAGCTCGTTCGCTGCGCTCACTTGCCTTCAGATTGCTTCAGATTGAAGTTCGTTCTCTACGCTCACTCACCGTTTGGTCGCAAATTAGCTGTTGTCATAAATTTAAAAAAATGATGGTGCTGCACCCTGTTGGTAATCCTTGTAACTTTAATGCTATTGAACATCATAGAACAGAACCAACTTGTTTAATTGAAACAGCTGTTAAGATTCATTAATTCCTTTTAAATATGAAAAATCATAAGGTTAACATGGGAAACTCCAGGGCCACTGGGGTGGAGCTCGAAAGCCCGATCAGAATACAAACTACTTAGTTTTCCTATTTAATGCCCAAAGAATTGGTGTACCGAATTTCAGCCTCCTAGGTAAATGGGAAGTGGGAGAATTAGTGATGAGTGAGTGAGTGAGTCAGTCAGTGAGGGCTTTACCTTTTATATATTTAGATATTTATTTTAACACAAGAGGCCGATATTTAACTAAAATAAAAGAAAACATATGTATCCGTGTCCTCCTACTCTATATTACTAATATAAAAAGAAGCGATACTAGTGTTCTATGCAATCCCTTATACTCAATAATGCCGTCACCAACCAGCCAAGGCGGGCATAATTTATAAGTGTTAAAGCATATGCATATGCTTATCAACTTAAGTAGAGTATCAGTATTTACATAGAAAAGACCCAATGGGCTCATAACCCAGTAAAACCTTACAATGATATCACAGGGGTATGATATGAGCCTCTGCCTATAGTGACGATGGGTGGGGGACTATGCACCTCTCTGTCCATAGTAATTACAGGTAGGTGGGCATAAACCTCAGACTTCAGTGGTAAATGGAGTAAGGTGATACCCAGACTTGGTGTGTTAAAGTTAAACCATAGAATAAAGGTCGATTCACACATATAAGTTACGGTACAGTTCTGTCACAGACCAGTCAGAGTTTAGCCTCAGTTTCATCCGCAATTTCTCAGTCTTTTGGTTCTCTTCCGTCATTTTATTTACAGTGTTGTTACGGTAAAAAATGTTGAATTAAAACAAAACACAATATTCTATCACATTTGCATTGTCCCTTGTTGATTGTTACAAACATTAATTAAAATAAAAAAATCTATGATTTAAATAAAAAAAAATACCATCTAACCTCAAACACGTCCGTTAGGCGTCCCAACAATCCAAAAATATTGGTAAAAAGAAATCTGAAATTGACTGACGGACGCCGGCAGAGCGACTGAGGGAAATGCGACGGATGAGTGTAGATAGTGCAATAGAAAATCCATTAAAGAATATTTTTGTTAACTATGACGTGCCTGAAGTGACTGAACTGTGACTTGTCGTAACTGGTGCGTGTGAATCAACCTTAACTCTTAAGCCTTGGTTTCTCTGAACCACGCTGCGTTATTGCGTGATCCGTGATTTGTGATACGCGGTAATCACGCGTGCGTGATAAAAAATAAGGGTGTTTTCTATGACTCCATCCTTGCAGCACGTGATTATATCTTCAGCCATGGACAACATGGATGTCAGACTCGTTGCCGTAGCATTTGCTGCTGGAGGAAGAGGATAATGAAAAAAATTTACTATTGAATTTAGTAAATGAGGACTCTTTGGCATGGAGAAGAAGGGTGTTTTAGAATTCTGATTACCAGGTATTTAATTGAACAATGAAACTAAGTTTAGGGAATTTTTTATGCTTTCAAAACAGTTGTTTTGAGTATGAGTATGAGTACTACGGTAATAGCTCATTCCCTATATGGGAAATTCGCTAAAAAAACCTATTTCACCGTTTTAAATGTTGTGCTTGACACAATTAACTGTCAACAATTCTTCTTGATTCCATTGTTCTTGTAGTTCTTTTGGGTGAAACTAGTACAGAAAGCTTTTCATATAACTTGGCAGTAAAAACCTTGGATTTCATAGTTGCAGTTTCATTAACAACACAATTATCAGTCACCAACAGATGAACAGATGGGAATAACTACTGCGTGCCACGGCAAAAAGTCTGGGATTCCAGACTTCAGTGCGTCGCGCAAAGGTATCACGCATTACTAAATTGGCAGGAATCACAGAGAATTGCGCACGTGAAGTCAGAGAAAACACCCCCGTAGCAATAGCTGCAACAGACTTTTGCGTGATTACGTAATCGCGCATCCCGCATCCCGCAGTGACGCTACGTGATTCAAAGAAACCAAGCCTTTAGCACGGGCGTGTTGACTAGAACAAATAGTAGGCCACCACATGTGTTACTGCAGTAGAAGGAGCAAGATCCTTGAGGATGATTCCCCTGGCAGTATCTGTGTGATAATCCAGATGCTCAGGGTTGTCATACAGTAATCCTGAAGTTAAAGCATGGATGAAATTGTAAGTATTCCAGAGTTTATTTAAAATCCCAAGCGCTGTTTAATACATGGTACTTAAACCTAATTTGTCTTATTCTTCTGTTTTAACTCCCCTCCTTGTAATATACCCTTGAATCTATCTGTGAGCAAAGCTCAACAAAAATAGATGCTAAGGGTGCAAACCTTAACCTGAACGGTAGATAGCTTAGGTGTTGACAGAATATATAGGTTGCTTTTTACTTTCTCCCCCTATACCATAGTATATGGAGAAAGTATTGTTTTTGTCAAAATTTTCGAGTTTGAGTTTTGAGTAGATATATTCGTTTTGGGTCCCCCTGGACCCAAAAAAGTGGTTTTCGAAGTGATGTCTGTGTGTGTGTGTGTGTGTGTCTGTGTGTCTGTGTGTCTGTGTGTCTGTGTGTCTGTGTGTGTCTGTGTTACTGGATGTGTACAGAGCTAGAGACTACACCTGTGATCCGATTTCGATGAAATTTGGTATGTAGGTTCTAATCCATGGTATCTCCAGGCCTTTTTTTCATTTTTTTGAAATTTTGATTTTTAATGGGAATTTTCCCATAAAAACCCATCAAAAACCGGAAAAATTGAATTTTCTCAAAAATGGACCGAACGATTTTGATAAAAATTTAGTATGTTGTATCCCTTTAAATTCTGAACAAAATGGTACAAATCCCAGTTCTGTAAAAATTACGGTTCAAAAGTTATGGTAAATTATGTTATTTTCCCATAAAAAATCCCATAAAATAACAAAAAATAGGATTTTAGAAAAAAATCCGGTTTTGATTTAACATGGTATGTTATGGTCCTTACAATATTGAGTTTTTTAATTTTTTAGAAATTTTTATTTTTAATGGGGATTTTCCCATAAAACCCCATAAAATAACGGCAAATTAGGATTTACCCAAAAATGGCCCGAACGACTTTGATGAAAATGTAGTATGTTATAGTCCTTTATATTCTGAACAAAACGGCACAAATCCCATTCCTGTAAAAATTACGGTTCAAAAGTTATTGTAAATTATGTTATTTTCCCCATAAAACCCCCATAAAATAACGGAAAATCGGATTTTCCCAAAAATGGCATGAACAATTTTGATAAAAATTTAGTATGTTATAGTCCTTAAATTCTGAACAAAATTGTACAAATCCCATTTCTGGATATGAGGTTGTTGACAAACTTATGGGAGAAAGTATGTGTCAGAATGCTGATACCGTTTATTTATTTTTAAAATTAGGCATTTTACTACTATTGCATATCCTTACAGTGTGCTTGTTCACCCCTAAAACTTATTTTATGGAAATTTTTATCCTTGTGCTTGTAAGATAAGAAAAACCCGTAAAATGTGTGTATTTAAATCAATAAAAACCCCCAAAGACTCAAAAGGATTAAAATGGTATTTAATGTTAATAAAAACCAAACCACTACTTAACACCCCATAGGTTGATGTTCTTATCAAGTTGTCAATTTATAGGAGAAATACAAGAGGAATCTGTTATACTTTATGTACAATGACAAGCCCCCCACTGTAAAAGAATCTTACCGAGGGGGAGGACACGCTAAGGGTGTAGTGGCAGGTGACAAAACAGGAGGATTCTGGATGGTCCACAGTGTTCCGAACTATATATCCAGCACCAATAACAAATATACCTACCCTGACACTGGACTGAAATTTGGACAAAGCTTCTTGTGCATCACTCTCAAACCTAAAGATCTGGAGCTAGCAGGTAGGAATAATTGTGATTCAATACAAATAACACAGATTAATACTATTTAGCTTGTAATTTACATTAAACTCCCAATGGAGCACTTAAGGAGCTGACTTGTCCAAATCGGATGCTAGGTGAATGCCATTCTGGGTCTCGCGATCAATAAATGCAAGGGTTTATCCGCAACCCTCAAAAGAGGAGTTACCACGTGCGGTTAGTAACTAGAGCCTCTCTCCTTACCTCTTCCTTTGACATTAGAGACATCCCCCTTGGCTTTAAGTTGTAGGCCATGAGTTCAACTACATTGAACTACATGGAAAATGGTCCTTATTTTTTGTGCGGTGGGACACACGGAAGATTTCTCAGGTGCCGTTTGACGTCACTAATTGCTGCGTCTGAAGAAACAGAAAATTTTATAATTCTTCTATTAAATTAAACTGTCATAACCTAACCAAACCAACCAAACGTGCTGATAATGAAAAAATCTAATGAAGGTTTACTAATCCAAAAAATAGTTTTGTTCATAAAATAAAATTATAAATGCCTAAAATTCAATTTTATAATTTTGTAATTATAAAATTAAACTGTCATAACCTAACCAGACCAACCAAACTTGCTGATATGAAAAAAAATTGTTGACAAAAAGTTAGTGCTACCAGCGGGATTCGAACCCGGTACATTCGGGTTATAAGCCTGACACGCTATCCACTACACCACCGGGGCCGATGGCTCAAAACCGTATCGTTGCGGTATTGGTGTTCCCTCAAAGTGACGTCAGCAGTTAGTGACGTCAAACGGCACCTGAGAAATCTTCCGTGTGCCGTTTTTTTTTTTTTTGTTTCATCCCAAGGTAAAGCTAGGAATAAAAATAATAATATCTGGCTGTTGTTTAAAAGGCAACTTGGCAGACATTTTGAGCACTTGATGGTAGTATGTTAAAAGTGCAAAAATCTACCACAAACCGTTATGTTGACCCATGTTGTAATATAACTATGGTTTTGGTGGAGGGGGTCTCCAGACAACTCACTAAAACAAACGAATGCGATGTTGAAATGTTCATTTATAATTTTGTGTTCTATTAGTATTTGTCCAACGGTGGAAACACCAAACGTATTAACAAGAACTAGCAATGATAGTGGTTCTATGTACCTGCCAATACTGCAAATATTGGGAATTTAACTTTGAACCTCAACTTTTAACTAAATTACAATTTTACAACAATGAAGTGTATTTATAATAACTTAACTAAGAATATGTGTCATAAGTTTTAGTTAGAACTTATAACCAAACTGAGTAAGAGTCAAACCAATTTCTTCATCTAATTTTGTAATATTTTGTGTTGTGTAATATGGTGAAGTTTGCCTGTGTCCCAAACTTGTTACATCTTATAATTTTTATATCCTATTACAATTTGAAGGGTGAGGTTCATTTGTCCGAGTTTTCAACTGTCCGAGTTTGTTAAAAATTACAAAATATTTGAAAAATCATTTGTCCGAGTTTTCAACTGTCCGAGTATGGTTTAAATAATAATAATATTTCGTTAAATCAACTGTCCGAGTTTTCATTTGTCCGAGTTTTTAAATTATAAAAAAAATGTCAAAATATCATTTGTTCGAGTTTTCAACTGTCCGAGTAGGGGCAACATCAAAATGTGACAATGCGCTCTGAGACTAGCGTGTCTAAAGCGCCTGTTCAGAAGTCGATGTGAACCCCTTCTGTGAATAAGTCAGGCATTGTGCGAGCAGCGAGAGGCCCTCACGTCGACTTAAGAAAAATTATATTATTTTTATTATAAGACTAATTTTACAATTTTTAATTATAAAACTAAACTGTCATGACCAAACACAACCAACCAAACTTGCTGATAATATAATTATGGCGGGGGTATTTTATATTATCAGCAAGTTTGGTTGGTTGTGTTAGGTAATGAGAGTTTAATTTTATAATTAATAATTGTAAAATTAGTCTTATATAAAAATAAAATAATTTTTCTTAATTCGACGTGAGGGGCTCTCGCGGCTCGCACGATGCCTGACTCCTTCACTGAAGGGGTTCACATCGACTTCTGAACTGGCGCTTTAGACACGCTAGTCTCGGCGCGCAGTGTCACATTTTGATGTTGCCCCTACTCGGACAGTTGAAAACTCGGACAAATGATATTTTGATATTTTTTAAAATAATTTAATAACTCGGATAAATGAAAACTCGGACAGTTGATTTATCTTATTATTATTAGTTATTTATCAAAACTCGGACAGTTGAAAACTCGGACAAATGATTTTTCAAATATTTTGTAATTTTTAACAAACTCGGACAGTTGAAAACTCGGACAAATGATGTGATCCCAATTTGAATACCAATTCTTATACCATGCCTCAACAAATTAAAACTTAATTTACATTTTTTTACTGAAGTAAGTTTTTTAGTCTTTGGACCTTATTTAACCCTTACCTATTCGCGTGGGTTTTACTAACGTATGTACTCGCGTTGGGTGTTTTTGACACCCCATTATTTTATATTTTATATAAATTTTATTGGCACTAATAATTGGTAGATAAGTTTTTTATTATTATTTATGTTTACTTTATACAGTTTCTAATGTGAAAGAGTTAGTTATTTATTTTAAGTTTTTCAATGTAAAAAAATATTTTTTTTTACCAACTGCAATTTGTGTGTGTATTTGGCATATAAGTTTTGCATATAAACCATTTTTGTATACAAAAAATATGTATTTTGTCATTAAATTGTTTGATATTGAATAACTAGCATATGTACTACCCGGAAAATATAAAATTTTTAAAAGATGATATTATGTCTGTGGATGGTAAAAGTATCATTTTGCAAAAAAATTAACTACGAAAAATACGGCATTTTTGGGGAAAATCATAATACACACAAGTTTTGTGAAAAAATGTATTTACATGTCAAAAACACTTGTTTATTATTGAAATAAATGTAAATAAACAATTTCCTTTAATTGAAAAAAAAATTACCTTGTATAGCAACTTGCACTTTTTAAGAAACAGTACCTGGGGACCGAGCTTTGCTCGGGGAAAATCATATCCCTCTGATTCACTGGTTCACTTTGAAAGCAGTCTTAGTATTGGAAATACATAAATCCATTCCCAAACTCCACACGGCTCACCTTTACTACGTCCTACAGCAATTCCTACGTCACGGACCTGTTTCCCTCAATTCCCATAGGACTTAAGGATTGTAGATACCTTAATCTAATCATTATTAACAGTTCCCAAACTCCAGACAGCTCGCCTTGACTACTTACTTCACCACTTCCAACGTAGCGGACCTGTTTTCCTCCCTTCCCATAGCATTTCAAAATTGCAGACACCTTAATCTAATCGTCATAAACAGTTCCCACGCTCCTGACTACTCGCCTTTACTACTTCCTTCACCACTTCCTACGTAGCAAACCTGTTTCCCTCCCTTCCCATAGCATTTTAAGATTGCAAATACCTTAATCTAATCGTCATAAACAGTTCTCACACTCCGGACAGCTCGCCTTACTTCCTTCACCACTTCCTACGTCGCGGACCTGTTTTCCTTCCTTCCCATAGCATTTCAGGATTGCAGATACCTTAATCTAATCGACATAAACAGTTCCCACACTCCGGACTACTCGCCTTGACTACTTCCTTCACCACTTCCTACGTTGCGGACCGGTTTTCCTCCCTTCCCATAGCATTTTAGGATTGCAAATACCTTAATCTAATTATCATTAACAGTTCCCACCCTCCAGACAGCTCGCCTTGACTACTTCCTTCACCACTTCCTACGTCACGGACCTGTTACCCTTTCTTCCCATCGCATTTTAGGATTGCCCATACCCTTATCTAATCGTCATAAACAGTTTCCACACTCCGGACTACTTGCCTTGACTACTTCCTTCACCACTTCCTACGTCGCGGACCTGTTTCCCTCCCTTCCCATAGTATTTTACAATTGCAGGTACCGTAATCTTATCGTCATAAACAGTCCCCACACTCCGGACTGCTCGCATTTGCTACTTCCTTCATCACTTCCTACGTCACGGACCTGTTTCCCTTTATTCCCATAGCATTTTATGATTGCCTTTACTACTTCCTTCACCACTTTCAACGTCGTGACCTGTTTCCTTCCCTTCCCATAGCATTTTAGGATTGCAGATACCTTAATCTAATCGTCATAAACAGATCCCAGACTTCGCACTGCTACCCTTGACTACAATGTATCGAGTAATCTTCAGTATAATCTTTGCTCAATATTAACAAGTGATGTTTTTCCTTTTTTACTGTATTTGTTTTGCTAGTATACTGTGGGTAGTTGGCTTATTATGAACACATGCTACAACTTCAAGTCTTTTGTTTACTTTTTCCTTGTTATTCAATTCAACCAACATGGTTACTTGGCAACCCATAAGACTAATGTTAAAAAAATGTGACTTTCAGTTTCATTTTTCCACGTAATTAGATTTTTGTCGGCAGTTCTAACTGCAGTAAACTCGTTTTTAGGCCAAAAATAGACTATTTACAAGATTTGAAGAAAATCGTCGGAGCCGTTTTCGAGATCTTTCTGCAAGCAAGCAAGCAAGCATACAAGCAAACATTGCTCATATTAGAGTATAGGATAAACATTCACGTGGGGAGATGAAAACACAACAAACTTGGTAGTGCAAATTACATATTATCAAGTAAACACTAGTGATCGCAAGGGGACTTTGAAACACCCCAATATAATTGCAACTAATGCACAAGTGATCGCGCGGGGTGTCTGGATATCCCAGAAGATTTTTGACAACACTTTACCCCTCACCCTTGGAGACCTATGGGATACTGACGAAAACCAGTTTGATAGGTAGCCTCCACCCTAGCTTGAAGGTACTGAACTACAACTGGTCCGTACACCTTATTTCGAACGTTCGGGTGTTTTTTACCCCCCCCCCGCGAGTATCTAGGGTTTTTCTTTTAAAGTACTATTATTATATTATACTATGTAAGAATGTGTTTTGTTCTGTATGGTTGTAAAACCATATCTTATTATCTTTATTACATATTTTTTAGGTCAACTGATGCAGTACAATGAACTTCATATATACGACAAGTCAATTCCAAATCATTTAAAAAAAATTTACAAAAACTTAATCAATACTGCAGAAGGAGAGATGGTTGATTCTGAAACTTTGAACTCTAATGCCTTTAAGACAGCTGGAGAAAATTCACTAAGCTCAGACAAAGGTGAGGCACTGTTCTACCCCTTACACCAATTGAATTACCAATGTATCACCTGTATCATGAATCATGTGGGAGAGAAGTAGTTAATTTTCCTCACCAACTTAACTTGAGTTACATACTATTGTTGGTCAGCCATTACTATTTTTGTAAAAATTTCTGTTGCTGTACTCAGTTCCTCGTGGGAAATATTAGCACAACCTCTACCGTTTTGTTTTATTTAATATACATATTGTAAAGTATATTTTTGATATTAATATATGAAAAAAATTGGTTTTTCTTTTCCGACTTCGTTTGGCTATTCTACCCGACCAATTTTCATAATTGAGGTCTCAAATTGAAGGTATGCATTCACAGATTTCACATCAAGCATCGTTATATAGGCTACTGTATTACTCGACCAAAAAAATAAATTTGATTTATTTTTGAATTCTTACTTCAATTTAAGATGTATATCACCAGTTATGATGATATAATCGTATATATCTTGGCCTAAGAATATTCAGTGAAATACCAGATTTCATTTAAGCTATTAGCTATTCAAATCGGACGAGTTTCAAGCAAACACAAGGTGAACAACCAACATACAAATTATTTTTTATAAGGTTTTTCTATGATTAAAAATCAATAGCTCCAGTATTGTTTATGTTTTTATATGTTTTAGACTCAAAATAATCAGTCAATTATAGGCTTTAATTTGAGCTATTGATGGTTTGAATCAGTTAAGTTCAAGATACCGAATTACTCAATAAAAAATAAAAAATTTGATTATTTCTTGGATATGATATTTATTTCAATGCTGTGGAGCAGCATGGGTCCTCTAGTTAAGTCTTAATATAACTTTTTGCTTAAAACTGATTAGGTACAATAAATTGAATGCATATTTTCACCCTGTTCAATACCTGATATTCTCAAATTTGTTGGTTGATTTGTGTTTATTTGTAAATAATGTCTTCCTTTCTGCATTTCTGTGTAAAGATATAATTTCAACATACAGATTTTTACTTTTTAGGTATCAAGAATTATTTTAAATGGTTCAAGAGTATTGAAAAAGGGTTCAGCAATTTCTTTAGGCGTGCAAAAGAAGACAAACTTGACGTAAAATCTGAACCTGGGAGTATTTCTGATGTCATCAGGTCAGCTGGAGGGAAACACTTTCGTGTATTTGCTAAATCGCCAAGCTTCAACAAAGGTGATCTTAAACGTAAATGCGTTGTACATTTCTGTTTTGTTTCCCAACAGAATTCACATGAAAATTACAGCCCAACATGTACAGTGGAACTACTTTTATTAACTTTTATAGTTTTATACTAGCTGACCCGGCGAACTTCGTATCGCCTAAGTTAAAGGTTTCCCCTAATACAGACCGATGGAAAGAAAGTACCGTTACGTTTAATTTTCAAGATGATCTCGTTCGCATCGCTCAATCACGTCCTGGTTGAAGTTCGTTCGCTACGCTCACTCACCTTTGGGTTGGAGCTCGTTCGCTACGCTCACTCACCTTTAGGTTGGAGCTCGTTCGCTGCGCTCACTTGCCTTCAGGTTAGCTCGTTCGCTACGCTCACTCGCCTCCAGGTTGAAGTTCGTTCGCTACGCTCACTCACCTTTTGGTTGCAAATTACCTGTTGTCATAAATGTAAAAGAAATAATAGTGCTGCACCCTGTTGGTAATCCTTGTAACTTTAATGCTATTGAACATCATAGAACTGAACCAACTTGTTTAATTGAAACAGCTGTTAAGATTCATTAATTCCATTTCTCATAAGGTTAACATGGGAAACTCCAGAGCCACTGGGGCGGAGCCCTTTTAAGAATTTCGAAACGGGAAATAGTTTACGTCTGATTCGCATACCTACAGAATTTACACACCAAATTTCATAACGATCGGTGAAGTCGTTCCGGAGGAGTTTGCAGACAAACACTGTGACACGAGAATTTTATATATTAGATATTTATAACCAAGCAATAATTATTTAATTCTAGGAGTGATGTTACCCAGTGACAGTGTATATTGTTTGAGACACGGTACCTTTAAAATAAGTTTTCTTTCTCCCTTACGCCTTGCGATCTAGTCGGAATTATCTCTCTGGTGAACTGGTATTTCACCAGGCTGCAGCAAAATAGAGTCATAACCAGTTAGCTACATGTGTGGCTTGTGTGAACCTGGCCTTACAAAAGTGAATGGCTTGGTTGTTAATTGAAGGTATACGTAGAGATACTTTTTGAGTTGGATCTCAAATCAGACTAAACTTGTATTTCCCAAAAGAAAATGTTCTGTAATACAAAAAAAATGTGCAGTATTGTTTATAACTTTTCATGTGTTGAATTATGGAAAAGTAAAAATGTACCATGGTCCAGCATTTCTTTAAACTATCAAACACAATTGAAACTTATATGAATACTAGCTGACCCGGCGAACTTCGTATCGCCTAAGTTATAGGTTTCCCCTAAGACAGACCGATGGAAAGAAAGTACCGTTACGTTTAATTTTCAAGATGATCTCGTTCGCATCGCTCAATCACGTCCTGGTTGAAGTTCGTTTGCTACGCTCACTCACCTTTGGGTTGGAACTCGTTCGCTACGCTCACTCACCTTTAGGTTGGAGCTCGTTCGCTGCGCTCACTTGCCTTCAGGTTAGCTCGTTCGCTACGCTCACTCGCCTCCAGGTTGAAGTTCATTCGCTACGCTCACTCACCTTTTGGTTGCAAATTAGCTGTTGTCATAAATGTAAAAGAAATAATAGTGCTGCACCCTGTTGGTAATCCTTATAACTTTAATGCTATTGAACATCATAGAACAGAACCAACTTGTTTAATTGAAACAGCTGTTAAGATTCATTAATTCCATTTCTCATAAGGTTAACATGGGAAACTCCAGAGCCACTGGGGCGGAGCCCTTTTAAGAATTTCGAAACGGGAAATAGTTTACGTCCGATTCGCATACCTACAGAATTTACACACCAAATTTCATAACGATCGGTGAAGTCGTTCCGGAGGAGTTTGCAGACAAACACTGTGACACGAGAATTTTATATATTAGATGTTATTTTTGACAACACTCAAATGTAAACTTAAAACAGAACACCTTCACTGTTAAAATAGAATCAATTATCGGTGATTTATTAACCATCAATTATTGAGATGGGGACGCCACCTAGGTGCGTATTTTAACCCAAATTCCAGTGAAGGATGAGCTTAGAATGGAGTGAGAAGATCTTTTTACAGGCTAAGATCAGCTGTTTAAGTAACCAGGATCATTTATTTAAAACCAAATGATCAAGGACAGCTGTGTTCAGTTTCGAACATCAAAAAGCTGACTTTTCTCAGGATCTATCCGGCAACATTTTGATTGTTAGGCGAGCATAACCACACAACCAGTCAACTCAATGGTAAATTTTGACTATCTAAAGAATCTATTAAACATTCAAGTTTAATACTCTTGTTAAAAGTCAAAAATGGAAAGAAAAATGGACTAGATAATGAGCAGAAAATAATTTAATTATTCACAAATGAAAAGTTACTCAATCATAGTAAAATGCTACCAAACAATACTATTCCTGTAATCACAACATAACAATTCATCCCAAAAATCATATGTGTTAAAATTATTAAAGTTCATATTTTTATACCAGCTGGAAAAAGACAAAAAAATATAAACCATAGATTATTGAAATAAAATGTTTGAATACTATATCCAACATTCTCCCACCTTTTGACTTGTAAAGTCAAAATATTAATTATCGCTTCAGGTATCTTTGTGGTGGTCTAATTTTTCTTCCTCTTTGTGTATAAAAAGGTTGACGATCAACACCTTCAGCTACTTGTTCATCTTCCATTTCGAATGTTTCATTACCATCTTGATTGTCTTTCTGCTGGACCAATTCAAGTGGAAACACATGTTGTATGGGTCTCAGCACTGTTCCTTTTGATGTTTTCATTTCCACAAGACGTATGTTGCCATCTTTTCCAGGAAGTATCTTCTCAATCTTCGCCAAAGGCCAGTCCATCCGTTTGGTATTGTCGCTTCCAAGTAAAACAATTTCTCCAACTTGCACTTGACGAGATTTCTTCTTCTTCTTCGAATGCAACACCAATTGACTTAAGTATTCACTTCTAAATCTTTTTTCAAGATCTTCTTTTAATTTTAATTTAAAGTTCCAACGACGAGACAAATTTGTGTAGTTGATCTGGTCCAAATCAATAACTCCATACTCCTTCGTACCATTCAAAAACATAGCTGGCGTCAAAACTTCCATGTCATGGCTGTCTTCTGAAATGTAAGTCAAGGGTCTACTATTTATGACAGATTCACAACTGCACAAAACGGTCAAAAATTCCTCATAAGTCAAACTAGCTCTTCCTAAGACTCTGCGAAGAAGCTGTTTCAATAGTCTTATGAGTCTTTCCCACCAGCCTCCCAATCTGACGATTTTATCAAATCTGGAGAAATATCTGTAATACCAACAATCTGGTTCAGGTTTTGAATTAATCAGAATCTTTGTAGTTGATTTGATCTTCCTAAGTTCAGAATTTACTTCTTTCTCATCACAATCATCACTGAAGTTTTGGTTAGGCCACAAGTTTGATGAGTTTCTTAGCCATTGTGGTCCCTCCCACCATTTCGACTCTACTAGCTGCTTAGGAGAACATCCACGTGACGGCAAATCAGCTGGATTCATATGGCCTGGAACATGATTCCAAGATTCAATGTTACTAAGGGATCTTATTTCCTTTACTCGGTTCCAAACAAACACTCCCCAGTAATCTTCTCGACGAATCCATGACAAAACGGTGGTTGAGTCGGTCCAATAAAATGTTTTGACATTTTCAAATCCCATACTCTTTAAGACGTTGTCAGTTAGACGAGCGCCAATGTTAGCCGCCAATAACTCCAGCCGAGGAATGGTCATCTTCTTGACAGGTGCAACTCTACTCTTCGCTTGAGCTAATTGAACTGTAACAAGTCCATTAGATTCACCCCTCAGGAAAACCGCGGCCGCATAAGCGTCCTGGCTTGCATCACAAAAACAGTGAACTGTCCAAGAAATATTCCCTCCGATTTCATTTCCAAAATATCTTGGAATTTTCAAATTTGGAAAAATCTCAAGTTGCTTTGCCCAATCTAAAAATAAAAGTTTTATCTCTTCTGAAACGTTGTCATCCCATCCAATTTTACTTTCCCACGTTTTCTGCAGCAATATCTTAGGCATGAGTGTAGCAGGACAAGTTATACCTATGGGGTCAAACAACTTGTGAGCAAAAGACAAAATAGATCTCTTCGTGACTATTTCAGGTTCTTTAAAAACAAAGTTTTCATAATTCAACTCAATCATGTCAGTATTTTTGTTCCAATTTAAACCTAAGATAGGTATCAAGGTAGAATCATTTTTGAAACTCTGAATTTCTGTGTACTCCCAACTCCGAAAACAGAATCTAGCATCTTTCATTACAGAAGTCGCTTGATCTACAAATTGATTCAAATCTGAAAAGTCATCAAAACTTGCCATACAGTTATCTACATAGAAACTTCTCGACAGTGTCTCTACTACCTTTCTTGAGTAATTTAACGATCCAAAATCTATCAAGTCTAATGTTTTTTCTAAATGAAGTTCTATTACTGCACTTAGCATAAATGGGCTACAGGTAACTCCAAAGACCACTCTAGCGTGTCTGTAAACAACCAATTGACCATCTTCATTAATCCACAAAAAACGAAGAAAATCTCTATCATCCATATGTACACCAATCTGTAGAAAAGCCTTCTCGATGTCAGCAACAACTCCATATCTGTGTAGTCTAAAACGATTTAATATGGACGGAATCAATTCAATTAGATTGTCACCTTTTTCTAGACAATCGTTCAACGAGGGCTGATTCTTTTCTTTAGCTGATGCATCAAATACAGGTCTCAATTTCGTGGTAAGACTGTTTTCTTTTATCACATGTCGATGCGGTAGGTAGTGACCAATTTCCAAATCGGCATCGTTAACCTTCTCTATGATACCTAATTCCTCCCAGTCAGACAACACCTGTTGATATGAACTAAGATATCCACTAGAATTAAGTTTATTTGTAAGATTACTGAGTCTCTTCTGTGCTACTTTCAAATTAGTAGGTAACGGCGGGTGATCTTCAACCCATGGCAATTTGACCTGATATCTGCCATCATTTTCCACTGAAACAGATTCTACAAAATGTTCCATTGTTCTACTTTTAACTGAAGATTCATTCTTGACCTCCACTGGATCCTTGATTCCTAAAACATCCAAACTCCACAAATCTGAAATGGATTTATTTTCAATAGGGGACAGTAAAGAAGTTACTGCCATAGAACTGGACCTGTCATTCCCTTCAACAGTGGTTCTTCCCATTAAAGTCCAGCCCAACAAAGTATGCATCGCAACTAGCCCATTGGAAAGCAGATATCGTTTCTCAGTGTAAAGTTTCCCAGCAACGTCTGCACCTATCAGAACTTCAATAGGCCCGTCTCCATCTGTTACATTAATTCCCAGTGTTCCAAGCTCAATGGACCAAGGACCAGGCTTAACTGTTGTAACATCGTTACAAATTATATCTTGATCAAGAACGTCAAAATTGCAGGCATAACTATTATTTAAGTCACTTAGTCTAATCTTATAACACGCATGTTCAATTGTTTCAGTACTAGTGCCACCAAATAAAGCATGAGCTAGCTTCTCCTTTCTGACTATGTCGTAGCCAAATTCCTTTGCTGTATTTTTCAAAATATAAGACCTTTGTGATCCCGTATCTATTAAAGCACGTGCTGTTCGCTCTCGATTTTGGTTTCTAATTTTTACTAAAAAGGTTTGTAAAAACACTTCTGTGTGAACATTGTTTGCTAGAGAACTTTCTTTGACTGGTTGTTCACTCAATGAACTTCCTTCTGCAGCAGATGACCTACACATAACAGCAGTGTGCCTCCTTCCACAATTGAGACATTTTACTCTAACTTTACATTGCGCACTCCTATGACCATACTTCAAGCAAGTAAAACAACAACCATTTTTCCCAACGATTTTCACCTTCTCATCTACTGTCAATTTACTGTCTTTACAGTGTTCAGCTAAGTGGTTAGAACCACAAAACATACATTTAACGTCCTTAGTATTTAACTTATCAGACTTTGTTGGGTTAACTAAACCAGCAGCTCTCGGCATCATTTCAGTATGTCTGGTGTAACTAGATTTAGGTCGAAATACAGTAGATTTACTTACTTTAGGCTGTAGGTTAGGTCGCTTACTATTTTCAAAACCAGATGCGGCGAGGGTAATCCTTTCCTCGTTAGCAACCTCCTTTTGCAGAAACTTCATCAAACCATCAAGTCTATCCTTAAGTTCAGCATCAACTTCATAGCCAGAATGACACTGCCAAGCTCTCAAAAGTTCCTCAGGCAAACAAGACTCTATAAGAGGATATAACATAGCAGAACATTTGTCAGTTGTTACTCCTAATGTCTCCAATGCTCTTAGCTGGGTTTCCAGTTTATCGTAAATGAAAGAAACTTCTACCTTACCGTTTAAATTACTCAGCACTAACTTCAAAAGCTCTCTAATATACACTTCTATGAGAAGGTCATCTCTACCAAAACGACTTTTAAGACTTTGCAAAGCTTTGGAATAGTTCTCAGAGGTAGCAGGATAGCTTTCAACCAGCTGACGAGCCCTAGAATTAGCTAAAGTAGCCTGCATAAGATAATGATATTTATCAATATCGTCAATATTCTCGTCATCATCTATTCTTTTGAATTGTGCCCAAAAAGGTAGCCAATCCTTCAAATCCCCGCTAAACTTTGTGAATTCAATAGTAGGTAGCCTCAGCTTAGTCCTAACAGCAGTAGATTTACTCTTTACAGACCCATTGGAATTAGGTGAAGTGGCCCTAGACCTAATCAATCTACTCTGTACAGCTAAACTAATTCGATTAAACTTCTCTACATATTCATCTGCTAGCCTAACTTCTTCATTTAACTCTTCTTCATCTGCTTCAGAATCTAGCAAGAAATCAAAAATTTCCCTGTCCAAAGTTTTTAGTTCTTCTATCTTACCTTCCAGAGAACTCAATTTACCCTGTATATTGTGTAGGTCTTGCTCATCTTGGCATAGCTCCTCATTTATTCCATTATAAATTCTGGTAAATGCTGTTCTGAAGGTTTTTCTTAGTTTCCTATTTCTTTCCATTATCTCAATAGTGACTATCTGTTTAAGAACTCATACTTGTCCTGTCACGGTCGCCAAATGTTAAAAGTCAAAAATGGAAAGAGAAATAGACTAGATAATGAGCAGAAAATAATTTAATTTCTCACAAAAGAAAAGTTACTCAATCATAGTAAAATGCTACCAAACAATACTATTCCTGTAATCACAACATAACAATTCATCCCAAAAATCATATGTGTTAAAATTATTAAAGTTCATATTTTTATACCAGCTGGAAAAAGACAAAAAAATATAAACCATAGATTATTGAAATAAAATGTTTGAATACTATATCCAACAACTCTAGTAAAAGATTTTTTTTATTTTTATGAATTAATATTAAGTTTTTTTTTCAATTTTAAATTAATAATTAAATTAAATTATTTATTTAATTTGGTATGTAAGTAATTAATTGTATGACTTAACTTGTGTTAATCATTTTTTATTTGTGAACACACAAGAGTGAATCACCCAAAAATTTTAATTTCAAAATAAAAATATACGAGCTGTTGGCCCGTCCTACGTACGGGAATCGAGTAGTCAATTAAAACGGAATAGTTCAGCACATCTAGTTTACACGCCAACTGCCCCTAAAACAACCTAATAAACAATTAATTGTTATTTTTTAGTTGTTGACCTTATTAACAAATGTCACGTGACTACCTATTTCTTCCATCCGATTATAGACCTAAAATATAGCGATATGCATTTTAAATTCGATAATTTTACCATAAAATAACAGTTGCGTTGATTTGAAAAGACTTGAAGTGAGATTGGAGACCGATTCACACACACTGGTATTGAGTAGAGTTGCTACAATTGCATATACCACTTATATATGTACTTACCGCACCTTTACCTCCGTGACCACAGACTGACACCTTATGAGGATTCTGGCCACCCATTCTCTTCCATCCCCTGTCTCTTCTTATGTTTTATCCCGGTCTGAGGATGTATTTCATAACTTGGTCTTTGGGTTTCCACTTAATTCTTGGTCTTCCAAGTGGTCTTTTATCTTGTGGTACTATGGAATATACTTTTAAAAGCTGATTTATCTCCTATCCACCACGCATAGCCTGCCCATCCAAGCCTTTTACTTCTTGAAAGCACCCCTATATCTGGGTGTTTACACATTTCTCTTAGCTCTCTGTTTGTTTTTATCTCGAACTCCGTTATCTTGAACAGGTCTGTATATTTTGTCTGCACTTTTCAATACTACGGGGAGAGTTATGGTATGGTATGAGTCGACTTTCGTTTCTACTCCACCTTGCAGCTCATTGGACAATTTTATAGAGACCTACTACACCATTTGACGCTTTCATTACTAACCAAAATTATAGTATGACTCGCATACATTCGGACACACAGAAAAAGAAGTATCAACATGTAAACCACTTATATCTTTAACGATTAAGCAATAAATTTCTGAAAAAAAGATTTCCCAAATATGAGATGAAATTTTCATGGCATAAACTAAATAACTTACTTACACAGTTTGCATTTACAACAAAACTTGATTAAACAGTTTGAGATGTATAGATGAAAATAACACATTTGCTGATAAAGCAGATCCTTCACGGTAGAAAAAAAAACTAAATTTTAAAGTGAAATAGTATGCAGGCCAACACCGAAGAACAATATTTTTGTATACAAACAACTTGTAACATAAACATTTCAATGACAGTTTATAACCAGCTGTTAGTTTAACCAGCACTAAAAATACTTTGAATTGCTAGCGTCGGCTGCTAAAAATTGAAACTTAATTTCTAAAAAACTGAAACCCTAAATTAAAATTATGGCTTCGACATTCCCTAGTTCTCAAAATTATCTTTCTTTCAATACAAAAATGATGAAAATCGGTCAAGTGGTTGATTCAGAATCGTGAAATAAAAAAACCCTGTTTCGTTTTAATATTATAGATATAATTAGTTATTAATATTTTTTTTTGTCCCTTTAAATTCTATGATCCAGCAAACACATATTTTTATAGTGGTCATAATAAAATTGCACACTTTATAATTTTTTTACATCATGATAAATAATAGTTTATAGTCAATTGTTTTACTGTTTAATGGTATGGTTAACACAATATACTTTAATCCCATTCATTTACTGATTTTTAAAAAAGAATCTATGGTTTTAAGTTATAATGAAAAATTACTTTTAAACTTAGCTGTGCATTACTTTTGACTAAACAGGTATTTTTTTATTATTTTGTTTACATTTAATTTTTTTTTAAAGTAAAAACCATCATTTTAAATTAAGGTTGTGGTAAAACAGTGTTGGCTGAACTATTCCTTAAATTTAGTTTTATTTGTATTCTTGTCTGACAATATTCAACCTGGGTTCAATCTTCGTTGACATATTTTTTTATGAAAAAAAGCTTTCAAATAAAAAAATAGCCATAAGTTCTTGAAGTGCAAATTATGTACTATTCAATAAGGTTTTATCCCAGATACCAGTAATAGTATTTTTATTGTGAAAATCCTAAAAGACGTTGATTTGAAATTTACTGTGGATTTACTCACAATATGTATATATTTTTTATTTACAGAACTCTACAGCTATTGGGTGGCTCCTGCCCTGCAAGTCGATCTTCTGGTCCAAACTTGGGCACGTGGTCGTTCTCATCAAGATTCTAGCTGTGAAGGCAAATTCAAGTAATTTTAATGGCCACAATACAAATTAATATACTGTAGGTATAGAATGCATTTTTGTTAAGATATATAGGATCTTAAAACCCTGTATACGACTAAAAAGTTGCTGAATATTTGCTAGGAGGCATTTTTTTAATGGATAGGATTCAGCTAGCTTGAGAAAACTAGTGTCAAGAGGCACATAGAATCACAATAAAACAATAATTTAGATCAAGCAAAGAGAATATTTTGTTTAAAAAGTGGTAACATTTAGATCCCTGATCAGTCGTGGTACTGCCAATATTGGCTACTGTAAAGAGCTACATCATTCTCTTCACATTCTTAACCTGATTTAAAGCACCGTTAGTTTAGCCTACTTACAAACTTATTTGTTTATTTGTTTTATGTTTTCTAGAGTAGAGAATGTGGAAAAAATCAGTGTTGTTGGTGTTGAGTTTCCCACAACAAACGACCACTCCAAATGGGCTGTCTCAGATTCACAGACAAAACCCTGGATTTGTGTTGGTGACATTAACAAAGATGTAAGTAGTCCCTGAAGTAGAACCCTTCTTTTCTTGGTAGAGATCAATGTTTTGGTTTTAGGATAAGTTGGGTTTTGAAACCAAAAATTTCGACTTAGCAGTACTTATTTCTTTCACTTGGCGAAAATAACCATACACTATGTGTGCCCATTTAAAACTGGGTAGCCAAGAAGTTATGTCGGGCTCAGTTGGTGAGAGATGTCTTCGCCAATTGTCATTTTGTGATTACGCAATTGTCGGAGACAAGTTGTCCTGCTCGTTGTCCTCAGTCTACTCCTGGACAACTGAATTTCAGGCCAGTTGTGAGGGCAGTAAGCAAGGCAATTGGCTTGAAGTGTACAAAGCCAATAATATTATGTCTGTCAGTTTTCTCTGATAATTGTCTCACCTACTGGCATAGTGTAAACCCGACTGTAGTGCTCGTTGCTCGGCTGGTTTGATTCCAAGCAAAGTCGTTTACATACCAGAAGCCAATTGTCATCACTCATCAGGCTATCAATGAATGTTCTAACAAAAGGTTATCTACGACCTGTGGGGTTTGTTGGATAGTAACAAAGCCAGAGCTTGGACCACTCCTCAAGGCAAAAAGGGTAAAAAATGTCAAAGACATAAATAACATAAAACCAAATTAGTGTGAAAGCAAGGTGATGTAGAATGGTAATGATCTATTTAGTGTTATTCTTGACTAAGATCAGTGTTTTTTTTTGCAAGAACCATTTACTGTAAAGCCCAATAATCAGGAACAGCTAGCTCTAGTTCTGATCCACATCAAAAGCAGCTAATTTTATCAGTTTATCCATGTCACCTACAATCAATTTTTTATGTTGCACTTTCTGTTAAACACATTAATGGTGTAGGGGGGGAGGGGAACACATGGGAATGGCGGTCTCCTTTTTCTAAAAATCATACACAGTATCGACAATCAGATTTTTCCTAGACAATAATGAGCATTCTTGCTCTGAAAAATTGATTTACGACTACTTTAATGTGTTTACATTGAAACACATTTGGCCTTACTACAAGAGTAAACCCAAATAGCAAATATTGTTTGCAAATCGTTGGCCCAACGGTATGTTTTGGCACTCAGTCTTACGGTTGGCCAACCAACCAATTTTTGCGGAAGGGCCAACCATCCCATTGGGCCTAAACATAAAAAACACAAAATAATAAAGATTTTGTATGAAAAGCATAATTATGAGTTGAGTAAATTGATTAAATAGTTCATAAAAACTTATTTTGAACAAAAAACAAGATAAAATTATTAGGCCTAAACGGGTCTTGAACTCGGTACCTTCGCCTTGTGAGCCTCACGCCTTACCTCTGAGCTAACTGTGCTTGTTCATTATGAGTGTTTTCAAGTGTCGAAAGAGTAGGCGACAGGTGCAATGGTCACAATACTTAAAATATTTTTGATGCTACAGTATAATATGATAGTAGTTATGTAAAGGTCTGTTCGAGCGCAGGATGAGGATGAGAGCCCTGAAATAGGGTACACCCTAGAACAGGGTACACCCTAGAACAGGGTACACCCTAGAACAGGGTACACCCTAGAACAGGGTACAGCCCTGAAATAGGGTACAGCCCTAGAATAGGGTACAGCCCTAGAACGGGGTACAGTCCTAGAACGGGGTACAGTCCTAGAATGGGGTACGGTCCTCAAAGTCCGGACACTCAGAGAGCAGTCTTCTGCAGTTCTTTTTCATAGAATCTGCCTATAATTTCCTCGCCATTTTGATCGGCGATCCTATAAGTAACCGGTCTAGTGTTTAGAATTCGTGCTATTGTAAATATCTCCGAAGTCCAGTTTTGTTTATATTTATTGAATGTTGATCTTGAATAACCGTTACTCACTATGACGCAACATAGAATAATCTAGATTGGAGTCGGACATGTGACCATAGAACAATCTAGATTAGAGCAAGAAACCTATATAGAGTATGCTGTATGCTTGAACTGCTAGTTGTGTTATAAAAGTGTTAGTGAAGCGTGTTAAGTGAGTGTGTATAGTCTAGAGTTATAACTACTCTGACTCACAATATATTTTTATTTTGTGGGGTCAAAGTTGAATCAATAGTGGAGATAATTAAAACATGTTCTTAATTAGTCTTTTGCTATCTCGTTGAATAATTTATTTGGTTGTGAGAATATTGTTCTCTATATAGAGGTGATGGCCAACACTACGGTGTGTTTATATTGTAAGAAATCTATTTCTAAGCCTAATATATCAAGACATGAGAAAATATGTCCGCAGAATCCTAATCGGAATCCTAAAGTGCCATGTGATTATTGTAGAATATTGTTCAGTGAAAACTATCTTTCTAGTCATGTTGAAAATTGTAAACAAAATCCAACCATACACCAGCCTATAACAAATCGGTTGGCTTCTTCTAATGAAGATGAACCCCAACCCAGCACTAGTGGGATTAGTAGCTTAAAACGTAAACCTCCGCCTGATTCGACTCCTAAAGGGCAGCCCCCAAAAAAGGTTAAACGTTCGGTAAATGGGTTTAGACCTTCCGGTACTCAATTTATACCGCCTTCAATATTCAACAAAATATATAATACTGCGGCCTCTATTTATTCCGGCATGAAGAAGGTTGTAACAAATACCAACTATCCTCCGACTACTGATGCTGAAATTACTCTTAGCAAACGTGCATTTAAGAGGAGATTGAATGTTTATCAAATAGAAAACAATCATAATATAAAAGATCCCAAAACATATTTAAATAGACTTAAAAGTTTAGTTGTTGAGAAAATTCAACACCACTTAAAAACATCTGAAGTTAAAGTTAGATTTGTATTGCTGATTGATTATGTGAGGGATCCAGAAATTGCAGAGTTTAATTACAAAACAAAATATGAACCTATTTTATTAGCAAGTGATTTATCAGAATATTTTGAGACTGCTATGGGGGATCTCTTAGCGGAAATGGAGGATTTTTCAAAAAAAGGTTCTGGTTGGTCACTTAGCAAAATTATTAGATTAGAGCTGTACATAAATAAATACAAACCAATCAGGGGTTCGAGTTATATCGAATTACCTGACGGAATAAGAAAAAAAGAGGCTGTAATAAATGTGAGAAACAACGACCAGAAGTGTTTCTTGTGGTCTGTTTTATCAGCCCTTTATCCTGCTGCAAAGGATCCTCAAAGAGTTACAAAATATAAACAACATGAACACGAATTCGATGAAGCTTTGAAAGATATTGATTTTCCAGTAGCATTGACTGATGTGGTAAAATTTGAAAAACGATCGGGGGTTTCTGTAAATGTGTATGGTTGTGAAAAACAAGAAAATATCAATGATGTGGAATACTTTGAAGATTATCCCGGATGCAACAAGAAAAATGATAAAGAAACTGAGGAAAAGAAATCAAAATACATTACATATCCATTATACATAACTAAAGATGAGAAAGACAGACATGTAAATTTGTTGTACTTAAAAAACGCAGGAGGTAATACTCACTATTGTTGTATAAAAAATTTAAGTCGATTAGTGAGGTCTCAAATCAGCAAAAGAACAAAAACAAAATGGATATGTAATCGCTGCCTCATGCATTTTGGAGAGGAGCGTCTACTACAAACACACAAGGAAAATTGCAACAATCATAATCCTATACGTGTAAAAATGCCAAAAATGATTACTACGGAGAGTGGGGATTTTCCTCCACGGGTTTATTTCCGCAATCATTATAAAAAGATGAGAGTCCCCTTTGTATGCTATGCTGATTTTGAAAGTATTTTAGCACCCATAGCGTCATGCGATCCCGAGTTGTCGGATGATAAGTCGTATACCAAAAAATATCAATCTCACGAAGCCATCAGTTTCTCATTGTATGTTGTATATAGTGAGGGTGATTATAAGGACCCAATTGATTATTTTGGTCCAGATGCTGCAAAGATGTTTGTTGAAAGCATTGAGAATGTATCTAAAGAAGTAGCCACATTATACAGTAGAGACGCTGCCAAACCCATGCGTTAAACAGATGATGATCGTCTAGCTATAGCTGGTGCTAGTAGTTGTCATATTTGTTGTAGGCGCTTTAACAAAAAAGATGAGAGAGCTCTCGACCACGACCATCTCTCCGGGAGGTTTCGAGGTGTGGCACATAAGGTTTGCAATCTGAATTTCCGCAAACCCAACTTCATACCAATTTTTGTTCACAACTTGAGTAATTACGACACCCACCTGTTTATAAAGATGTTCGGCATAAACAATGAGAACATTCGTGTTGTGCCTAATAATGAAGAAAAATACATATCTTATGAGGTGGTTGTTCCCGGTGGTGTAAATTTACGATTTTTAGATTCGTTCAGATTCATGCCTTCTAGCCTCGATAGTTTGGTTAACAACCTAAACAGAGATCAGTTTCGACACACTACAAAATATTTCAGTGGGGATAAACTAGAACTGGTGTGCAAAAAAGGAGTGTATCCATACGATTATATGGACTGTATTGAAAAGTTTGATGAGACCGCTTTACCCCCGAAAGAGTCATTTTACAACAGATTAAATAAATCCAACATAGAGGACAGCGACTACGAGCACGCCTGCAAAGTGTGGGAGAGTTTCCAGATTAAAAACCTAAAAGAATACACCGCGCTGTATAACAGAACAGACACGCTGCTCCTTGCGGACGTCATTGAGAACTTTCGTGAAGTTTGTATGAATACCTACAAACTCGATCCGGCTTGGTATTATACCTCTCCGGGCTTAGCGTGGGACGCCATGTTGAAAATCACAGGAGTAAGTCTGGATCAGTTAACAGACTATGAGATGGTGCTAATGATCACCAAAGGAATTCGAGGAGGGGTCTCGCAGTGTTGTCACCGATATGCTAAGGCCAACAACCCATATATGCACGATTACGATCCGGAGAAACCCAACTCCTATCTTTTATACCTGGACCAGAACAATATGTATGGTTTTGCTATGGTGTCGTCGCTATGTTATGGGAATATACGGTGGCTAGAGAACACAGATAATTTCGACG